CCCAACGTCAGTTCAGACAAAATTTTTGTTTGTAATTCACTTCAAAATGGCTGGCAAGCTTAAAAGTGGGAGATTATGGTGCTGAGAAGAAAAGGAGATACCCATTTTAGATTTTCTATGTATTATTTAAGCATTTTCGACTTACGACCTGGATTTGGATCCCTAACCCCATCATAAGTCGGGGAGGAGCTATACTGGTAATAGAATTCATAAAACATTAAATATAAACTAAATACAGTACTGTACTGTACAGTATACTGCATAATAATAAATAAAAAACAATAGAATACTATATTTTAACTTACTTTGAGGTGTGTATGTCGTATTCCAGGCAACTTTGTTTATATATCAAACAGCTGATTGTAGAGGCAGTAGTGTAATGCCTTCTTCATGTTTCATAATAATTTCTGACCTGTATATTATCAATATGTGAACTAAATTTCAGAATGACCAATAATTTTAATGTAAAAATGCAAAAATATTCAAGAGACCAACAAACTGGATATTCACTCCACTGTAAACAAAGTTAAACTGAGAAGAGTTGGCGAGTGATTCGATCAGCTGATTGGCACACAAAAACTGTTCCCTGTACTGTATATATTATCAATATGTTAACTAGATTAGAATGACCAATAATTTTAATACAGTCAACCCTCGCTTTACGCGGTCCCACTTTACGCGTTTCCACGTTTACGTGGTACCCTGCCGAAACCGGAATGCTCACTTTCCGCGGTGTGTGTACCCTTTTACGCGGAGAGCGGCGCGAGCAGGGTGCCCACAAGGTCGCCCAGTCATCAAAACATTACCGAGTTCTTCACCCGCCACCCACCACAGCCGGCCCAAGTCAGTGATAATGATAGTGAGGATATGGACTTATATGGGCTTTGAGGGGTTTGACAAAGAGGTCCTGCAAGCCTCTGTGGTGGATAGTGATACAATTGATACAGGTGAGGGCCAATAATCTGCCCTCTGCCTCGGAACCAACTCCCCCATCCCCGTGTGCCCAGCCACCTTTTCTACTAATGTAAGTGTTAAAAAACCTAATATTATTGATATTTCTCTTAATTATTAATTGTGTGTGCATACAATCATAAAATTAAGAAGTTATTTTTACTACAACGTAGGTATTGTGTCTGAAAAAGTGGAGTTTGGGGGTCGGCCCGGTCTCTATTTCAATTAATCCCATATGTTATGTTGTTCACTTTACGCGGGCCGCCGTGGGTTGAATTAACCGCGTAAAGCGAGGGTTCACTGTATAAAAAATGCAAAAATATTCAAGAGCACAACTTTCTTGATATTTACTCCACTGGAAACGAATGTAAACATAGAACCAATTACTGTATTGGCGGACTAGCCGATCAGCTGATGCGCACAACAAGTTTTGTTCGTACTGGAATTGAAAATCCTTATGGGAGCTAATTCGTTAACTGGACCATTCGTTAATCGAGGGACCACTGTACAATAAATACTATTATATTATTTCTTCTATTACATAAACAATGGACTGGCAAAATAGCCTGTCAGCTATTGCCGTGACCAGTAATTTACCCTTTGAGGCTATTTTACCGTGACCGGTAAGTTACCTTTCGAGACTAATTTGCCATGACCAGTAATTTAGCCATTGCCTTCATTTTATTACATGCAACACATGATTAACTGACAACAAAGATGTTATATGACTATATTTCACTTCATTCTCAAATACCTTTCAATGCTGCACTTGTTAGGAGGTTCTCAGGCTGGGAAAATTTGTACAGCGCAGATATATTACCATTTAGTGTTTTATAATGTTTGTGAGTCTGGCAGCTGCCCAGTGGACAAGTAGATTCGAATAATAATCATAAAGTTGACAGAGATTAAAACCAAAATAACCCTACAGAAATATACAAAAGTAGACCAGCAATTGTTTTTTAACCCTACACTCCTAGAGCCATGTCATAGTTACCACTGAGGCACTGCTATGGGGCCAAAAATAAATTGCATCTCAAGCTACCAAAATATCTATGATTCTTTTTCAATTTAATCAGATATTTATTAGCCTACTTCTTTACCAAATACAATATATAATGAGAGAAAATTCAACAAAACAAACAAATACCTGGTTTCGCACACATGGACTGCCCCTATGCACACACATGCACCAGTTGTGTCAGAAGCTGGAAAGATATATATTTTTTAATATTTACTTGTAACTTACAGTATCTACGATTCTTTTTCATCATATCTATTAACCTACCTTTTACAAAATTGTATGAACAGTAAAATTTTATTATGAAAAAACAAATCCCTGGTTTCGTATATATACACAGCTGTCAAACGAGAGAGAGAGGGAGGTACAGCAGCCTATGGTGTACTGTACTTTTTTGAGTGTGACTTTCTATATATTTTTCTATTCCTTCTCCTTTCTTCATTTCACACCTAAGATTGTATGACCACCACATAGGCCTTTCCTTATCTATCCGAGCAATGGGGTGTGGGAGACTTACTGTACTGTATATTGATTCAATGGGTAGTTGGACTGATTTTATCATTTACAGGGTATATTTGTACCATTGGATGACTAGCATGTGTGGTCATCACAAGTAAGAAACAAGCAATTTGGGCAAGATTCTTCAAATGGCAAGGACCACCAACAACAACTTCAACATTCAGTTAAGAAGAGACTTCTTAAACTGTTGGCTGCCATTTCTGTCAACAGACATTATAGTAGTATTTTGTTAACTCAGACTCACACTCTGGAACATTGGGTACTTTATCGTGGTTACCAAATTTCTCTGCCTAATGTGTTATTTAACATTAAAGAACAGTTCATTCTAAGCTGCAAAAATAGTTCATATAATTTTAATATACTGTACCGCACCAGTACCGTATAGTATTAAGATGTGTAAAACAATGCTATGAAATGATCTATGACTGATATTCCTTTACAAACTATAATAGGTCACTCCAGTTCCAGTTATCTACTGTTGAATTCATGACAAAACACTGCCAGTGTCAGACCCTCACACACACACACGCACAAAAATTATATATATATATATATATATATATATATATATATATATATATATATATATATATATATATATATATATATATATATATATATATATATATATATATATATATATATATATATATATATATATATATATATATATATATATATATATATATATATATATATATATACACAAACACACAAACACAACAATTAAGAGCTAGTAAATTTCCAAAACAGCTTTATCAGCGCAATGAAAAAAAAAATATATATTACGAAAAGCAAATTTCAGAAGTCAGTAGCCTGGGACAAGCACATCCTCAGCACAATCTTCCCAGCCTCCAGGTTAGGTTCTATTTATTTATTTATTTATTTTAACATTTTAATTTAAAAATATTTGTGCTGTGGTATGTGCAAACTAAGACTAATCAAATTTATTCCACATCTTTGAACTGCGAGAGATTAGGCTGTCTGATGCAGCTGGCGTATGATGGCGCCACTGTGATCAGCAGTCATCTGAATTGTTTACATCTGTTTGAATCTTCAAAATAATATTTTGCTCGACTCCACAAGGAAGGAAAGGCTGTGTTGTCTGCCAAAGACAAATCCAGATACAGGCATATAAAGTTTCTTTGATTTCCCAAAGATTCTAAAAGGTTTCAAATAAATAGTATAGTCTACCATCTAAAAGGTTTCAAATAAATAGTATAGTCTACCATCTACCATTCTCTACACATTTTCCTTTGAAAGTATTATGCTCTACCAACAGGAAGCACCGCGGTCTCACTGTGGTAACTCCGTAAAAATAACGGCTGCAATGGAGAATTATACTTCCTTATTAGACATTCCCTGCCATATACAGTATACAGTATTACCCCGCTTTACGCGTTTCCACGTTACCCTGCCAGACCCGGAATGCTCACTTTACGCAGTGCGTGTACTCTTTTACACGGAGAGCGGCGCGGGCAGGGTGCGCACAAGGTCGCCCAGTCATCAAAACATTACCGAGTTCTTCTCCCGCCACAGCCGGCCCAAGTCAGTGATAGTGATAGTGAGGATATGGACTTTGAGGGGTTTGACAAAGAGGCCCTGCAAGCCTCTGTGGTGGATAGTGATACAATTGATACAAGTGATACAGGTGAGGGTCAATAATCTGCCCTCTGCCTCGGAACCAACCCCCCATCCCCGTGTGCCCAGCCATCTTTTCTACTAATGTAAGTGTTAAAAAACCTAATACTATTGATATTTCTCTTAATTATTAATTGTGTGTGCATACCATCATAAAATTAAGAAGTTATTTTTACTACAACGTAGGTATTGTGTCTGAAAAAGTGGAGTTTGGGGGTCGGCCCGGTCTCTATTTCAATTAATCCCATATGTTATGTTGTTCACTTTATGCATTTCTCGCTTTACGCGGGTCTCCGTGGGTTCAATTGACCACGTAAAGCGAGGGTTCACTGTACTCTGATACACTGACTGAATCATAGCATTGTTTTGAATAAAGTATACAGTATATATGTGCTGCCCAGGAATCATACAGGCCAAAATCACGTATAAATACGTGGTGTGGTGACTATTGATGTGTTGTGTTATCTTTAAAATGTGGCTGGGATTACTACATTTGCAATATGTAACTTATTACAAAAGGTAATGTTCTATATCCCTAGCTACCTGGTACAGTAGAGCTAATTTATGATTGATGACAGATACAGTAAAACAAGATAGAGTGAAAAACATTACATGCAGACAATATTATATAGCAGTCCCTAGGATTTTTAGCAACTAAATACTTAAACTTAACTGAAATGTATCTAGTATTTTTTACTGTTTACATTATCAACAAAACCCAAGTCTTTGACCAAAAAAATTGTGAGAAGTCCAATTACAAATGAAAAAAGTCCAAAAATCCAAATAATAAAACCTTGCACACTGAATGAAAGACTCAATTTCTTTAGTTTCTGACGTCTCAGAAGGAAATGTATATTTATTAATTAAATTCTTTTTAACTTAAACCCCTGTATTTAAAATGTCATCATGGAAGTGCACTACACAGGGCTCAGCCCCATTTATGTATTTCACAGATTTACATATTTACAAGAAAAAAAAAAGTAGTGTATTGACTGTTTTTCTCATATCACAAAACACTGTGATTCTCAAAAGGTGACTCTTCCAGTGGCTGCTTCCTGGTTACCCTGCTTAAGATTTTTTTTTTCACTTCTTGAGCAAGTGTGAGGACACTTGAGCTAAAGAAGGAAACTCTACAGTTGCTTGGTCATGTGTTTCCATGTGTTGGCTGAAGTCATCCTGGTTTAGAACCTGCTGGCATACCACACACACAGCAAACAATGTGGTGCATCCACGGCCGCCATCAAGTTTTCTGTAGGCTGCTAGTACCTCCTGCATACAGATAATGTCAATATGAGAAATTATTTTGTGTTAAATTAATTAAAAATACATATACAGGTAACTGTTTTATGTCTTTCTTAGATTGGGTAACATCCTTTAACCCTTTCACTTCAAGGGGACAAAATGGTCCTAAACCATTATTTTACCTGCATCATAAATTATGCTAAGCTTACAATGCTTAATTTCTATGTATATTACCATATTATGCTTAGTGTTCAGGATTATTTCGGTAAAAAAATGACGGTTCTAACTACAGCCACTCCTCGACTTACGACAAGGGTTAGGGACCCAAATCCAGGTCGTAAGTTGAATTGGTCGTAAGTAATACATAGAAAATCTAAAATGGGTGTCTCCTTTTCTTCTCAGCACCACAAGACTCTCACATTTAAGCATGCCAGCCATTTTAAAGGGAATTACAAACGAAAATTTTGTCAGTACACAGCACAATCACTAACGTCGGGACTCAAAAATACGTAATTTTAAAAAAATTTGGTACGACTGGGGCGGTCGTATGTCCGGGTGGTCGTAAGTCGAGGAGTAGCCGTAATTAGAACTGATTTTATTGACTCCAGTAACAACATTTCTTATATTTAAAAAATAATAAAAAATTGAACCCTAATCTTTATACAGTATTGCCAAAATATTTTGTTTAAGGACCTATTGGAACAGTCTTGGAGAGCAAATGTTCTGAACAAAATTTTATACACCTTTTTGCTAGGGTATTGGGTGGAGTGAGTGAGGGAGGAAGGGACAGAGTGCGGTTGTTTCTCCCCCAAGGTACACCTCACTCCCTCCCACCCATTGTGTGCCCTTGACTCGCTGCCTCTCACTCATTCTACTATGACTGTCATTCATGATACAATACAGTATTGTTCATTTGTTATTCATTAATTAGTAAAGATAGGGTACTGTAATAATGTGTTTATTAATACCTGTACCCTTCATATACAATACCTGTACTGTATAAACCTATTAGGTAAAAAATAATGCTATCAGGAATGCTTCTCCCTATATGCAATGGTACCAAATTCATTTCTCAAACACAAATAGAGTACCTCAAAAATACCTTAGGTTTCGTCTTTATTCAAGACATCTTCAGGTCATGAGACCCCCACCCTGACAATGGGTGACCTGACATTGCATCATAAGGTCAGTAATATGAGACCGCTAATCCCCCAACCCCACCTGCACTTAACATTGATCAGGTCAGTAACATTAGACCCACTAATCCTCTACCACACCTCCATCACAACATCTCCATATGTTTTTTCATAAAAGAATTGAGTCCCCCATCATTATTAACATGTTTTGGGGACTGAAGTGAGCAGTGTAAATTTGAAAATGTCTGGCAAGCATTTTGCTCGATTCATTGATGTCTCTACTCCATCTTAAGAGTCACTTTAGCCTTGAAGGGGTTCTGTGAGGACAACCAGACTTGTTCTTAATGATGTGGTGAGTGTTGTTTAGTGATACATGTGGGTGTCTGACTGGCCAGGAACCTATCCCATTGAACCCCTTGTTATAATAATCCTGATTTATGATATTTCAACCTGCAATGGGGTTTTCAGGAACCTAACCCCATCGTAAATCGTAAATAGCGGGATATCTGTATTAGCATAAACTTGAATTATTAGCTGAAAATTGAAGGTCAACTAATGCACCAGAAGGACTAGTATGCCAGTACAGTATACAGGAAATACTGTATACCTGCACACTAAATATTGGTATGTTAAAGTCCCTACACACCAAAATCAAGGAACTGTTTCAGACCTTCTCAGGTCCCAAATTTCCTAGATAAGAGATCCCCCCCCCCCCACACACACACACACACACACATGTATTATATATAAACTACACAACAACTTTTATCAATAACAGCGAGATCAAGTAAACAAAACATACCTGTTGCTTTTTAATATCAGGCAGCAGCACCAGTAGTTCTGGAAGTATTTTGTGGAAGGTGTCCTTACCCATAACTTCCCGACACTGTTCATAATATAAGTGACCCGAAAATTCTCCTGTCCTTAGTTGACTTGCTAAATGTTTAAATTGTGTGAACTTATTCTCATCCCCTTGGCACTCGTCATGAATTGTCTTGATTAATGTTTTGTTCCTGAGCTCAAACTCTGGTGGGAGGTGGAAGGAATGAGTTGCAGTGGGGTGTGCTGTGAAGGTAGTAGAAGAGACAGCAGCCTCAGAAGTTGGAGAGATGGGAAATTTCTCCCCAGAGCTACTAGTGAAGGTCATATCAGTGGCACTAAATCCAGGAGGTACCTTTGGTTTACCAGCAAATCCCGGGGGAGGTGACTTCTTGGCTGGGGAAGACCATGTAGAAGTGGCCAATAGAGAGGGAGCAGCTGAAATCCCAAGTGTAGGGAAGGCCTCCTCACTGTCCATCACTGGTGGCGGAGATTTTAAAGTTCCAATTTTTAGCTCAGATTTTTTTCTTTCACTCACCAAATCAGTTGTAATCATTTGGAGATTTGAACTTGCAACAGGAACTACCGACTGATAGTCTCCTAATCTCTTCATTGACAAATCAGTTTCAGGGCCCTCTTCATCACTGTTGTCAAATATGTTGTGCAAGCCAAGTGGTTTCTTTTTTGGTCCAGATTTTGCCTTTGAAGTATAATTCGTCAGGCCTGGAGCTGCATTTCCATTACCACCGATGCTGTCTGATGAACCCGTCTTGCTGGATCCTTTTTTCTTTTTCTTACCTTTTGATCCACTCGAATTCTCACTTACTTCAGTAGGCTTGGGAACATGGTCTATGGTGTGTGTCCAAGCATTACTAACAGGAATGGTAAGACTCGAGCGGCCATGATAATTCCGCATGTGTGACTGACTTTCAACATTTGGGTTCAAGGATGGAAAATCATTAGCATGAAACTTCTTCCCAGGCTTAGATGGTGTTAAGGATGGAGCACCCATAGATGGTCCCAATGATGGAAAGTCATTCATTACAGTCTTGGACACCTTACTTGGCACACTGATTGGAGGCGGTGTCATTGCGCTCCCCCAACCAGTTGACCCTAAGCCAACATTTGTTGTTTTAGAAGGAACTGCTAAAGCTGGAAAATCTTCCTCTGGAGTATTTGATTTAGGTTTCCCATTGGCTGTACTCTGGAGAGTTATGTTACTGCTATGTGAAATTACTCCAATCTGTGGCCCTGTTGTTCTATTAGTTTCTCCTTCAGTGGATGGTGTTTTCGTTCCATTGGTTGCAGCAGGTACTGTGCGATTGTATTGTATTGATACATTGCTACTCCTAGAACTGGTACCCTGAGCATCTCGAGGAGCTTTCTTGGTGTTAACTTTAAGGTGTACGGAGGTGGTCGGTGATGTTGGAGACTGGGTTGTAGCCTGGGCTGTACTTACTGTAACACTTGTTGAGCCAAGGGATGGAAATTCGTCTTCTAATAAATTTGTTCCACCTCTCGCTCTTATAGTAAATCTATTTTGTGCTGCCAAGTGTGTAGCCATTGATTTACTCGCACTGCCTCCCCCAGCCTCTGCTCCAGAACCAGGGCCACTATTATTTAATGATGGAAAATCTTGCACACAATTTATATCAATGGAATGTTGTGTGACTGGTGGTGGTCTAATGTCCACCTCATCCACTGTTCTCTGGTCTTCATAGTCTCTCTCTCGATCTCTCCTGAAAATTTAAAATAGTTAAAGTTAATTACAGTAATATGAAAATAACAATATTCCCTCACTAATCAAGTTTTGAATATCCACAATATCCAATGTTAAGTATCCACAGATTTCCATAGAGACTGTAAGATTTCTAGCTCAGCATAGGTATGTTTGCTGGACCTGATCTACCAAGTGATTTGTAATATTTGCTTCATTGTGTGATGTTCCTCAAATCAACAATTTATCATCATATACCATGGCCAGATCCTCTTCCTTCTCTACCCTATTTAAATCAATTTATTTCCATCATTCATATTACAGCATACAATACAGTACTGTACATGGCATTCTATTGTCTTGGTAATAGTCATCACTAAACACCCTCAGGGTTGGGGAGTCGGCCACACACCTCGTGGTGTGGGTGCTGAGCTCACTCAATGCCTATCAGTCAAAAGGGTTTATATTGATAGAATACATTCTAGAGAAACACCATGTGTGTGTGTGTGTGTGTGTGTGTGTGTGTGTGTGTGTGTGTGTGTGTGTGTGTGTGTGTGTGGTATATAAACCAGGAAAATAATCACTGAAGCTGAAAATATTTCATGTTATGTATAGTGGCATGTAAGTTGGGTAATGCCATGTTGTCTCAGAGCCGAGGGCACTTGAATTCTGCGGATTCTGACCAAACACTCACCAACCCACTGTGACCCAAGCCAAGCCGCATTAGCAGTGCTTTGTTTATAACCATACCCAGCGGACACCACTGTGCCTTTATAGTGATCTCAGTGCTTGTGTGATGTCTTTTCTCTTTGATAGTACAGTACAGTATATCAAAACACTGCAGAGAGCCCGAAGGGTAATGGTGCTAAAAGGAAACAATTCCATACCTATAGGAAAGATATTTAAATTCTTCAAAAATGTAAAAGCAATGCATCAGCATAGAGGCTAAGTAAGGAGAATATACAGTGCAGTAATTAGTTCACCTGCAATTTGAACACAGATACACTCATCCCTAAAAAATAGCGTATTTAGGATTCGGAAAAGTAAAATTATGGATGAGCAAGAGGAGAATCTTAGGGTATATACACTTATCACTAAAAGCAAATAAAGCTCTAAACAATACCTTCCTCCTCTGCCCCCTCTGCCTCCTCTTCCTCCTCTGCCTCCTCTACCCACTCTGTCATCCTGACGATGGTTGTCTTGTTGACGGTGGTTGACCGTGAATTCTATATCTACTGTACGAGCCTGTCGAGCAGCTTGTTTACTCATGTTCTGGCTATGGGTCTGTGTACAATGGGCTGTAAAAAAAAATAATCATTATTTACTGTACAGTATATATATATTCTGTACTCATATTTTTTTACATATACCCACACCAGCTACAGCATTAAGAGTGTGGGCACGTACAGTATTATAAGAATATATATAGTAAAAAATAATCCATTAATCAACTTGAAAATGGCTTTACCAAAAATGTCTAATAGCAGCTCTCCATGCTGTGTGGTCTCTTGCAGCTTCTGTTATGTCATGTTCTTAACTCTAATGTCATTTCTTACAACCTCACATCATGTCATTCTTGGCCTCCCCTGGCTCTCCTCCCCTCCATATTCAGATTATTGCACCTCTTGACCCAATTGGTCTCTTTCATTCCTTCCATTATTCTCAATATCCAGCTGCTTCCTTAGTGCAGGAGGGTGGCAGCTTGTGGTTTTTAAATACCTACATAGTCTGCTTTTTGTTCTCTCTTATTGTGAAGTTTAATTTAATTTGTAAATGTACTGAAATAGTAGTGATTATGGATAAATGTAAAAAAATAAATAATATGCTATAAAATAAATATTATTATAATGTTCTCATATAATTTATTAAATTATATCTTTCGTGGTTCTTATAGGTAAACGTTCGTTATAGGAATATTCGTAGTAGGATCCGTTCGTTATAGCATACCCCACTGTACATCTTCAATGCATTTTTTTATTATACACCATTGCAATTGAGGAAAAGGAAAGATGCTGGTATGATTAATATGAGCATTAAGTGTATCATCTTGCAATAAATTCTGGGATGTCTAAGCATATTCTAAAGTGAATTATTTTAATTTATGTGTTTAGAATATAAAGCATGGAAATTTTTGTACAGTACAGTATTTATTTCTGATATGTAGAGTAAACTGTCTACAGTATTTCTAAAGCAAGCAAAGAATTTGATTTCCAATTTGTAAACAAACGAATATTTTTGCAACCTGCATGCTACAGCATTGTACTGGTACAGTATTTTGATATACAGTATACTAGGGAACAATATAACAAGCTTCCTCTGTAACTCATAAATTAATACAGTGAAGTATTACAGTACAAGGAAACTGCTAAATAACCACTTTAACTCATAAATTAATACAGTGAAGTATTACAGTACAAGGAAACTGCTAAATAACCACTTTACACTGAGCTCTACATTGCATAAAACAAATTTTCCACTCACCTTGTAAGTCTAGCTTAGTACGAAATACAGAAGTAAATCGTTCTTCTTGGCAGTCTCCCTCTTCACACAGGTAATGATCCTTGCGGAAATGTCTTCGTAATGCATTATAATCACTTAAAAGTAAAAGAAAATACAAAGAATTAAAAGATTTCACCAACAGTTCCTTTAGGAGTCACTCAATGTTAAAGAAAAGGTTATGTAAAACACGTTCCCACTAAGTTCCAACTATACAAATATAAAATTATACCACCTCTTTCAAACAGCAGTGTCTGATGGGACAAATGGAAAGGGAAGCAGAAAGTTTTTTATGTCTGTGGCCCATGGCATAGGCTAGGTATAAAATTCCTCAAATCAACATGTACAGGATACGCTCCTGTAAATTGGAGCGCATATAGTATGGAAATGTGTTCCTGATGACAATACTTTTTTTTACCTATGAGATATATACGATATTGTATGTCAAGAGTACAGGTATTAATACTTTTGGGGTTTTCATACGCAAATTTGCATATGAAGTAAAAAAACTAAAAATAATTTTGTTTACGTATGAACGCTTGATACACAAGACGCACATTTGATACCGTCGGCGTGATCTGGCAGCTATACAGACTGCCCTCCAAGGTCAAGTTACCACACCAGTCTCCCTTTGCGTTTCAATGACGTAGGACACACCTTTGACCCACATTTCCCAGGCATTTTCTCATTGCTTGTGCTGATATCTCGTTCATCACAGTGATTTCATTTACTCATAACAGTGTTGTAAGAGCTTTGAACCATGCCTTGTGTTGCTGGTATGGGTGGAGGGGTGGGAAAACGTTAAAGGTAGAAGGAGATTGCACCACGTGGTGATAGTGTGGTGCCTCCTAATGCCTTCTATTCTCACTTATGTATAGAAATAATCCACTAATCCGGGAAGCTTGGGACCAGACCAGTTCTGGATTAGTGAAAATTCCGAAACATCAAAGCCGAGGTTAAAAAAGGCAAAATAATGCCTAAAATGTACTATTATTACTGTCTAATTTCTTCAGTCTGAACTACTTTTCTAAAATAATTAATATCACTTGCTTATGTTTTGCCACATTACAACCACTTCCACTGCTTGCTGGTCTCTTAGGAGTCATATTTAGGGGTAAATTATAAGTATTTATAGGTAAAATAGTGGCAACAACCACTAGAAGTGAACCATGACACCGCCCCGAATCATCGAAGCTGCCGGACTATCGGGGTCCAAGTACTGTAGTACTTTATTTACAATGGTAATACTACAAATCCCATCTTTTTATCTCAAATAGCAAACTTGCTACAACTAATTATGTACAATTATCTCTCATGTGGTGCAGTCAAGTGTGATGAGGTGAGTAACAGGTCAGACCCCAATGGTCTCACAGGGAGCTCCTACCCAAACCCAAGAGTGTTAATAAACACAGATTATTACAGTAACTAATCTTCACTAATTAATTATTAACAAATAAACAATGTACTGAAACTTTTTTTAATCATGAATGACAAGTCACACTAGAGTGTGTGTGTGTGTGTAATTGGCAGATTGCCAAGATAGACTGTCCCTATAGCTTCATTCCCTACCAGGTCGAGCTGTATTTTTTTTTTCAACTCGTATTTTCAGGTAGATAAGGTATACTTATTTTTACTAATTTTTACTGTTACATGCACAATAATAGTACATATTCCTAATTTTATTTATTTATAGATTTTTTTTGTTACATACACACAATCATTCATACAGAATGTGAAGAAAAAAATCATAAGGTAAAAAATTAAATAAATAAATAAAACATTTCTTATGTCCGGAATTAATTCACAATCGTGGGAGCACAAGGGTAGCGCACTACTGTCTCTCTTGCCATTAGTGTAATGATTACTAAATGGCAATGCAGATTTTTTATTTTAGTTTATTCATTAGTATTATTTTTATTCATTCCTCACATTTACAGAGGAATAAATTAGACCACGGAGGGATAAAGACGCCACAGTATTCTGCGGATACCTGTGCTTGAAATTCAATATACAGAGGTACCTCAGTTAACGAACACAATTCGTTCCAGAGTCGTTCGTTAACCGAAAATTTCATTAACCGAATCTATTATTTCAATGGGATATTGGGTAATTGGTTCCAACTCACAGAAAAAGTATACAAATAAAGTACTGTACTGTATACCAGTAATAGAATTAACAAAACATTAAATATAAACTAAATACAGTACTGTAGTGTACAGTATACTGTATAAATAATAAAAAAAATAGAATAATGTACTGTATTTTAACTTACTTTGAGGTGTGTATGTCGATACCGGCAGCTTTGTTTACATATCAAACAGCTGATTGCAGAGGCAGTCGATGATGATGCCATATTCTTTAGAGAGTGCATTGGTTCTAATGCCTTTTTTGTTTCATAATAATTTCTGCATTGTATATTATCAAAATGTAACTAAATTTCAGAATAACCAATAATTTTAATGTAAAAATGCAAAAATATTCAAGAGACCAACAAAATCGATGCTCACTCCACTGTAAGCAAAGTTAAACTGAGAAGAGTTGTTGGGTGATTCAATCAGTTGATACGCACAAACACAGTTACCTGCCTGTATATATATTATCAATATGTTAACTAAATTAGAATGACCAATAATTTTAATATAAAAAAGCAAAAATATTCAAGAGACCTACTTTCTGATATTTACTCCACTGAAATGAATGTAAACATAGAACCATTACTGTATTGGCGGACTCACCGATCAGCTGATCGCACAACAAAACGTGGTTTGTCGAAGGATTTGGTTAATCAAAGTTTTTGTTAATTGAACTGAAAATCCTTATGGGAGCTAATTTGTTAACCGAAATTTCATTAATCGAACCGTTCTTAACTGAGGGACCACTGTACTGTATCTTGGTGAAATGGTATAGAATAAAAACCGTGAATATCCAGAATCTGCATATGGGAAACCATGAAGGCGAGGGTTTACTTTACGTATTTATTCTGAGCAGCAAACACTACTAGCTTTCTCCTTTTCAAGTAATTTCAAGCCAAGTGTCTCCTTTATAATAGAGATCCAAAGAAGGTGAAGAACAGTGTAGTCTTTTAACTTATTCTACCTTTGGATTCCAGTCAACAATTTGGTCCTGGGACTTGGGGTTTTATCCCTAAGACATCTCTGGCTACATGGAATTGCTTGGTCCTAGAAAGAGGTTCTACAAAAAAAAATTTAAGGACATGAAAGAATTTTGCTTCTGGATTACACCCTTGTTTTACCATAAATGTTAAATCTAAGACAAAAAATTTGCTAAAGACTGATACCCTGCAGAACAAATTCTTGTTCCCTGTCAAGGGTCCACTGTAATTGTATTGAGAAGTTTCAGATAACACAGACCAACAAAGGGCATGGGTGATGACAATAACATTTCCTAAAACTGGACAATGGGTAAAACCAATGGCCGAACATTAAAATAATGAAGTGCTGGGACATATCTCTGAAGCAGCCTCCTGGATTTTGGTCATTATTGTTAGCATTAAGAGTTCAAACATCTTTTTTTCATTAACAAACTATTTTACTCACATTAAGAGGTGATAGATACATATAAAATGCAAACTATGTAATAGAGTATTGACTATACATGACCAGTACATTTTTAAAAAATTAATCAACTTCTCAAGTTACCCAACTTACTCGTAATACTGATGTGAGCCGTCGGCATCACAAAAGTGGCAGAAGAAATGATCTCGCCGCAAGTGGCGAAAGAGGTCGCTATTATCCATGAATCGAGCATCACAAAATTCACAGAGTGGATGACCACGATGACTTTTGTCATCAGTATCACCTTTGCGCCTGCAAAGTGATTAATCAGGTTGAGTGTAGGAACGTGCCTTATGAGTGAATATCTGTAAGGAAAGTATGACATAATTTTAAGACAAATTTACATCATAATTAAGCATGAGGCCCCGAAAGTTTTAGTTAAAGAAGCTTGTTCCTGAAAATCCATTAAGTGATAGAGCTTGTTAGCTTCACCTTGAAACCCATATTGGTATATTGTGTGTGCCTGGAGGCAATCCAGATCACTCAACTTTCATGTGACACCATCACTCATAAAGGACACATTTGAGGTCTCAGTTTACCTTATGATGATGGCAAACACAAACAACTAACTTTTCCAGTGGACAGCTCACACTTAATTTGACACCATTGAAAACCAGGTTCACAGCAATAACCCCTTCACTCCAACCAAATTTCAAGAACATTCCAGGCAGGGTTGGTTGATTTAAATCAACTTGAATTAAATCACTTAATTTGGTACCATATTGATCCTGAATACATTCTCTACATGGTTGCAAAAAAAAAATCCATAACAAAGTATTTCTACACAATATATATAATGGTGGGAACTCAATTATTTTATTATATATATATATATATATATATATATATATATATATATATATATATATATATATATATATATATATATGTATGTATGTATGTATGTATGTATGTATGTATGTATGTATGTATGTAGTATATATATATATATGCACTTACAATTTGATTTTAATTGGGCTTCTATTATTCATGATGACACCCTGGATGTACCGATGGATGTCTGCGGGTAGTTTTAAAGTTGGCTGCATTTTCACGGCTCAAACGGGGAGCCTGCGAGTTTTATGGCAACCACAAGGTGTCTCTCTTGCCCCAGGTGGGTGGGCCATGCGTGCTCACTCTGCCTCAGTCTGGGTTAAACATTTGTCAGTTTCGTGATTGTGCTACTCTGCTCTCTTAACAACTGTGCTCCTCATGCTTGTGATGGCTCCCAAACATCCTTCATCCAGCCGTGGGAAGGTGACCAAACAAGTAAAGAGAGAAAAGAAGGTAATGTATTTCTCCCATATGTATGCCTGGTAATGGGGGCAGCCAGGAGAGTGAGTGACTGCTAGTTAGCGCGTCGTCTGCAGTTATAACTCTCCTCACTCCCTGCCATATTTCACTGGATTTATTGTTATTACTGGTGTTTACTGATAGAATAGTGTTTAATAGTGATTAATCATAGCATTGTAGCTAGGTTAGCTCGTCATTGGAACCACCAGGCTACTGGGCCGAGCTGTGAGGTGTTATGGTTGTTTTTCCAGCACGTATTTTCAGGTAGATACACCGATGCGGCATATAGGACGCGCTTTTTGTTCTCAAAATTTTACCCTCAAAATCACCCCAATCCAATATGGTGGAGGTCAGGATTAGGGTCCAGCTTGGGATCTCGGTATCCCCCTAGTCTAAGAATCCAAACAACTTCAGAATGAATATATATGGTATATTACAATAATATTTTAACAAAGAGAACAATTAAAACAATAATAAATAAACAAGGAATATTCAGTAATGACTACGATAATTCTTGAAACTACCGTTGTCATAGATGATTACAGATTTACCACCAATAACCAGTGTTATATTTTCTGTATAAACGTGCAACTGCCTTATAAAATAAAACAAACCTTCATTGAGGCACGAAATGCTTCAATTACCGGTTAATGCTCAACAAACAACGGAACAACAGTCTACCCACCCGGCAGTATTTTTTTTGGTAGTACCGACCGAGCACTGACAAACCTTGCGAACTGCGCCGAGTACCTGCAGCCAACTTACTTCACCAGTCTGGAACAAACCTCCTCGTAGCATAGTGCTATTATTCCATGGCTGTTCAACCAAAATACCCTAACAGAATGGAGTCAAAGAAAAGGCATAGCTACACTATCAGCTACAAATTACAAGTGATAACATATGCAAAAGAACACGAAAGCAGCTGCTAGACACTTTGGACCGCCTCCGACAGAGGAAATGGTACGGATGTGGAATGCTGTGAAAGCCGAGAAGATTATAAAATCTTTAAAAAAACATGTGGTATTAGCAATGCCCTAGATGGCACCGAAGATGATTTTCTATATAACGATAGCGAAATCTGATTCTGAAATCATTGATGGCCCATAAGGATATTCAATTTGGTTAACGAACAAAACTTTGATTAACGAAATCCTTACAAACAACACGTTTTGTTGTGAGCATCAGCTGATCAGCTGATGGGCTAGTCTGCCAATTCAGTAATCTGTTCTATGTTTACATTCATTTCCAGTGGAGTAAATATCAAGAAAGTGTTTTTAATATTTTTTGCATTTTTATATTAAAATCATTATTCATTTTAAAATTTAGTTAACATATTGATAATATATGGAGTACAAGGAACTATTTTGGCCCATCAGCCGCTTGACTCGCCACCAGCGCAGTGTGGTTTTGGACAGGAGTGAACATCTATTTTGTTGGTGTCTTGAATATTTTTATTTACATTGAAATTATTGGTCATTCTGAAATTTGTTAACAAATTGATAATAAATTGATTTAAATAAAATAATCTTGAATTACACCTAGTAAACTTAAAATTTTATTGGTGAAATGACTGCATCAAGCATGTCCCCTGAAAAGTGATTTCTCCTCCATCCGCACTTCCTTCTCTTCTCCCTTCTCTTCCACCCCAACTTCTAATTCCCATCATCATCATCGACCAGAAACCTTCTGCATACACACCTCAAAGTAAATGTACTTACTGCATTTTTTTTTACTTTGTATGTACTTTTCTGTGAGCTGGAACCAATTACCGAATATCCCATTGAAACAATGGATTCAAGATGAACGACTCTGTGAAATGAATTGTGTTCGTTAACTGAGGGACCACTTTATATACTATTTCCTATAAAAATATCATTGAATTTCTGCATATGTAATGTATTTCATGGGACAAAGGAAGGCCCAGGAACATAACTCCCGTATTTTATATATTTCTTATGGGGAAAATTTATCCTCTTAACGTTATTTCGTATAACGTCGTGTTTTCAGGAACATAACCTTGATGTTAAGCGAGGACTTACTGTACAGTACATTTCTTTGCAAACGAGTTAGCTGGCTGAGTGAGGGAGAGGAAGACGGTCACAGAGTGTGTGGGGGGGTTGCTAGGGAATCGGCTTCCCAGCTGATCTTTGTTACCATGGTGATACAGGGAATGTATGCAAATGGCCAATGTGTTAAAATTTCATTTGGCTTTTACTTACTGATACAGCAATACAGTATTTTTTGTTGGTATTACTGTTTGTTTATTCCTCACATTTCCTGGTACTGTATATGTTATTTTAAGAAAACTATGGCTACAGGATGAAAATACACACAAAAGCTTTTTCCTAAATACTCCCTGCCATAAAATACAGTAATGTATTTTTGGTGCTTTTATATTATTTATTGTTTTTTAACATTTAGTACATTTGCTGTAGACTGAAGTAGCATTCATATTTTTTGCATTATTATTGAAAAATTAAACAATAACCCTGGCCCCTAGAAAAGTTTGGTATCTGTAAGGGTGGTGAGAAGGTAAGACTAAGGCCTTATCAGTTAACTAAAAGTAAGTGTACAGTACTTCATGTACACTCGGTAAAAAAAACTACCGTTACAATTCCTGCACAAAATAAACTGACACTACAAACGAAGTGTTTAAAAAAAGGCCCCTGAAGCATTCCTCGCATTGGTAGCCCCGCAAGTGTATGGGATCGGCCACACGTGCTCGAAACAAGTGATCGGCACTCTGAAACGAAACCCAATACAGCTCCTCTCCGACTTACGACAGGGTTGGGGACCCAAATCCAGGTCGTAAGTCGAAAATGCTTAAGTAATACATAGAAAATCTAAAATGGGTCTCTTTCTTTTCAGCACCACAAAACTCTCACTTTTAAGCTTGCCAGTAGGTCGTAAGTCAGGAAGAGCTGTACAAGACTTTCCGGAATTATCGACAGTATGGTAAAACGTCGTTGGGCCGGGTTCCATTATGACGACATGCGAAACTGTGAAGCTATTCAGATGTTTCGGAAAAGCATGGTATAATTTCCAATACGAATAAAGAAAGACAATGTGGCATTAGACCAAAGTGAAGTAGCAATAAAAATTCAGATTCGAAATAAGGTTGCAAAATAATTTTATTCCTTTACTGTATCCACTAATTCTGCCAAACATATAATACATTCTTATATGGCAACTAGTCCACTTCCATGGTTACTGTAGTCCACAGTGTGTGTGGAACACTTAATATAACATACAATTTAACTTATCTAGTTATACGAACATTCTCCAGTCATACTGTAACAAAGTAATTCAATATTGTCAATGAAATAGCTAATTCCAGCCTACCAAATTAAGTACAAAATGTCTCGCATTCAGGCCTACCAACCCACGCGAGACAACGGGAACGTTCAGTTGGAAAATCATCGGACCCCACCTGTACAGTAGTTTTTTACCGAGTACATTACTTTTAAAAATTAATTTTGATTAAAAAACGTGTATTTCTTTCATAAAATTGGATACATTGGTGCTGTACTTCTTTTGTCTATAAAATGGCAGTCTTTTCAAAAAAAATTGCTCTAAGATGGACAATCTCTTATCCCAGACACCCCTTACCCCCAATGAGTCTGCCTGAGCAAGATATTGAAAGTGGGTAACATTAGAGAGGGTAGTACCATTAAGCTAGATGGATGGAGGTGGTGTGGCTGAATTAAGGGAAGGTTGAAAGAGAATCTGAGTCTTACGTAAATTCACCTCAAGGCCGAGGTGTGCATACACATCTGTGTTGGTGTTCAGGATCTCCTGTAGGTCGCGTTCAGTGTGAGCAACAAGGGTGAGGTCGTCTGCATATTGAAGCTCAGTAATGGAAGCTGCCGACACCTTTGTTCCTGCCTGGAGTCATCTTATGTTGAAAAGACCCTTCATCCAGCAAAATTGGCACTGGCACAAGTAAGGAAGGCAGCCATGAAAATGAAAAAGAGAGTTGGTGCAAGTACACACCCTTGTTTATCCCCCATTTGGATGGGGAAGAAATCAGACTGGGTGGCATTGTACAGGACACTGCTGTTCATGCCATCTTGGAGTTGCTTCACAATGGCAATGAATTTTGGTGGGCATCCAAAACAGCTGAGGGTCCACCAGAGAGCTTCCCTGTCGACTGAGTCGAAGGCCATGGTTAGGTCAATGAAAGCCATGTACAGGTCACGACGCTGTTCTCTACACTTTTCCTGTATCTGACGGGCAGCAAAGATCATGTCAGTGGTGCCATGTGATGGTCTAAAGCCACAATGAGATTCTGGGAGGAAGTTTTCCGTCTCTGTTTAGGAGGACTCGGGCGATAATCTTGCCAGCTATGGACAGCAGCGGAATCCCATGGTAGTTGCCACAGTCTGACCAGTCTCCCTTGTACTTATAAGAATTCAGGGGATTTCCTCCTTTTCCCATATATTCTCCAGGAGAGAGTGAAGATGGCTGGTAAGCAGAGGTCCTCCTGTTTTATACACCTCAGCTGGGATTCCATCAGGCCGCTGAGGGACCTGCTGGGTAATCAGGACATCCACATCAGTGTTTCGGTTTTACAGTGAATGGTAGTGCTCTTTCCAGTGTTGAAGGATGCCTTCATTGTCTTTAATTAGGGAGTTACCGTCAGATGAGCGGAGGGGGGCTGCGCCACGAGTGATTGGCCCATAAAAATTTTTGTTTCACATGCTTTATTTTTAAACCAACCATTCTTTAGAATGTGAAGTTCTCTCTGGGCTGCCGCTTTCTTCTTGCATCAGCTTTGGTCCGAGACTGAGGGTTGTTCTGCCAGTCAGTTAAGGTAACGCGTTTATCATCGACGAGTACATTGATTGCCGGTCATTTTCATCAAACCAGTCCTGGTGTATTCTTTCAATCTGGCCGAGGGTCTCTCTGCAGGTTTTTGTCATGACAGTATTGAGAATATCCCATTCGACACTGGGATATAGGATGTTTGTTGTTGGGTTGTTTGTCAGCCCACGTTTGAGCTGCTCTCTGAAAGCACGTGCGAACGCTGGATCCTCCAGACGCTTAGTGTTAAACCTCTTCTAGAGGCTTGCTGCCTTCACCGTTTTGGGGCAACTTGATCTGCATGTGGTTCCAGCAGGAACCATCTCAGCAAATTGGAAAATAACAGATGCAGCTGAACAATGGGAATACTTTATCATCATATTACGAGAAGCTGAGTAAACTGGTGAACATTTACAACTGGATAGAGAGATCAAACTCCTTGAACAAATCTTCATTTATATACTGTTGATTCCACATAATCACCAGTATTCACATTTGTCCTGGCCTTGAGTGTGGGACAGAGGTTAGCATACTGGATTCTAATTTGTATATAAGTATTATCATCTTGATATTAGACACAGTATCTGTACATGGGATCTGCAAGTGAATAGTGCATGAGGTAGATATGAGTTGTATCATTGAATCAGATTTGTTTTGTGTATGTGTAGACACACACAAAACACATACAAATAAATAATAATGGGAAAATCCTCTCAATTATTTAATCAGAAACAAGACAACAAAATTTAGAAAAAATGTGAGTCTACCTTCAATTCAACTCCATGCTTTGTTATTAAAGTTTACTTTAATAACAAAGCACGGAGTTGACGTGAGGGTAGGCTCTCACAGCATTTTCTATTTTTTTTTATCTTGTTTCTGATTCTTTGTGAGAGGATTTTCCCATTATTATTTATTTGTATGTGTTTTGTGTATCTGTGTGTGTGTGTGCATATATACTGTATAATACAGGTAAAAGAAATAATTGTCCTAAGGGCAAACACATAATGGAATATACATTTCTTTGCACACGAGTAAAAATAAATTATTCAAGAACTAATATGCATACAGGACAGTACTCATACCTTTAGGTGTTCTACACAAAGTTCACAGTAGAAGCGTTCATGAGATTTTCTCATGTGGTCTTTAAGCTGAGTGAAGTTTTGGAAAGTAGAATAGTCCTCACATACACGGCAAGTGTGTTCCAGCAGCAAATCGTAAGCCCTCATCACTGCTTCGTTTTCAAAGAAAATAGCATAGCGACGTTCAAAGTGCATATTTCTTGTCTTGACGTTGGCAAAGGATGTCACTGTGTAGGTGAACACTACCTGTTGGGTTACAAACACATTAGCTTTGAGGGTCACCCTATACAAAAAAAATAAAAAACTCTCTCTCTCTCTCTCTCTCTCTCTAACCATACATGGCATAAGAACTCTGTTGTGCAATATACAGTACACAAAATCAATTTAAGACATCAATAAACATAAAACTCAATATACTCACTGTAAAGACTAAACTGTGTGATATCTGTAAAGCTAGAAATATGAAAAAAGCAAAATCCATACATGTCAAGAACTTGATGAATGTGAACTAGAGTAGTACAGTATATAGACCAAAGAAAACTTACTTTATAAAACCAAAATGTTTAAGGAAGTTTCATTAACATACACAGTAGTACAGTATACTGTATGTGGTTACTGTTTCATACTTTGTGCTTTTCCCATTTCTCATATAAGAACACAAGAACATAAGAAAATATGGAGTCTGCAATAGGCCGGTTGGCCTGTGCATGGCAGCTCCTGTCGAGAGTTATTACCACTCTCTATCATCCATGAATCTATCTAGCCTCCTTTTGAAACTTTCCAGAGTTCCCGCACTTACTACAAAGTTGCTAAGCTTGTTCCACTCGTCCACCACCCTATTTGTGAACCACCCACCTCCACTTTTACTGAAGATCATATGAAACAACCAAACCTAACAAACTTAGAATACTCTTTAAGCAAGTTAGGTAATGTTCTTAGAATGTTCGAACAAAACAAAAATGACTCATGACAGTTCTATGAAATTTAATAAAAAATTTGACATGCCATTTGCTATTCACATTTCATTTTCTTCACACCAGATTCTTACTATTTCAGTACAGTATTGTACTGTACCAGGTATACAGTAATATTGTACAGGTACAGTACTATATTCTGGGACAGGGGTGTGGGTTAACCAGCAACTTTAGAATTTTTTTCAATAGAATACTATAATATCTTTCTTACCTCAAGAATAAGCTATACCAAACTAGGTGGAAGATTTGCCATTTTTTTATTCATTTTTTCCCTAAGTTTTTTTATAATTTTTTTTCGAGACGTTTTTCAACAAAATTAATCGCTAAACGAATAAAAAATACACCAAAACACACTCGAAAACCTAACCTAACCGACTCTCACCATATGATGGAATCACCTATTTCTTACCTTAGTTGGCCTGGAGACCAGGTTCTTGTTCGTCGTTGGATTCTGAAATTCTTACACAACGCCACATGTTGGTCTTTGCGATATTCACATTGTCTTGCTCTTAGTACACTTTACTGAGGTTGGAAGAACACCATGCGATAGAAAAAATGCTATAGTGTCTTCGTTTTTTTCCCCCAAAACTCGCAATCAGCTCCATATAATTCAAGTGACACCCATCGCAGACTTCCATGGTCGGAACTGACCTTGAATTTCGAAATATGAGACCCAAAATAAAAATATATTTTGATTGGTCTAAATATACCGCGAATTAAACCCAAAATAATTTTAATTGGTTGAAAAAAAAAAGGCTTTTGATTGGTCGCGTGACGTATACGGGAAGGCATGCGCGTGATGATTTATGAAGGAGACACGCAGAAACACGCAGTGTGAAAGGTGAAGTGCATGATAAATGGCGCATATTATATCATTATGTCTAATTCAAATGTAAGTCTATATTTTCAGCCACCGGCTGCAACTCTTAATAAACCGTTTATTATTATTATTATTATCATTATTATTATTATTATAGAAAAAATCGAGAAAATTTTGGATTTCCTATCTCTGTTAATATACATTTCCGGCGATAATATAATAGATGAAAATTATATTATAATTAGACGTCTTATTAGAATATGATAATAGATTAGCGGTAGTAAGTAGGAGTTTTTAAACGCAATAATACCCAAAGATTGAATTGATATCCTAAAACATTCACATGACAGATGGTATTTGAACAAGTCCAGAATAAGAGCAGGAGGTCTAGTTCTTTGACAATGACAGGTCATAAAATACCAGACTTTGGCCAGCCACACCAACCTTGTACTGAGATTATGCACCTTATGTAGTGCTGCCACCTTACCTTGGAAATGTCTTTCCTGCAAATAGGGCATTCATTCCTGGCACACAGGACCCTCATCCTTGTAGAACACTCGTAGCACACGGGATGGTCACACTCTCCGATGCTGTAGATCTCCACCCGCCTAAAGCACACCACACACACCTCTTCCTGGTCCTGCTCAGGACACTCAACCACCCGGGGCGCCACTACAGCTTGAGACATGGTTTATTTCTCTCCAGTAATGTCACTAAACTGCACTGCTGGTTCACTCTCTCTTGCCTAGGCTACTGTTACTTTTGAATAAATGAGTTGAACTGTTGGCACTCCGGCCGGGGGAACAAAGCCAGGATAGATGGCGCTGAGGGGACCACACAACACCATCTGATCCCATTCTCTTCTTTCTTGTTTGTGCCTTGTAGTAAGACAGCTGAAAAGATATTATAAATAAATATACTTTTTTCAGAGGAAGGAGGGAGTGGGAGCAAACATGACGATCTACTAGTTTTATCCATACTCTATGAAGAAGTAAAAAAAAACCTTGGGCTTTCTGCTCGTGGTAGTTTTCTAACTTCAATTATTTTCAAGATATTAAATTGTTTGGTTGTTAATACTAGTTTAGTATGGATTGGAAAAAATATTGAACTTCTACGAAATCATGTAATAAATCATGTAGTAAAGAAATTCCCGCAAGTTACAAACATTTTATCCAATATTCAGCTCAAATATAGCGAATATATGAAAATCACAAAGAACCAAAAAGTTGAGCAGGATAGAAGAGCAAATAGGCATTGAATCAGTTTTTTTGTTAATGGGCATAACCACTGCTAATCAAAGCAATCAAATGAGAACGTCGTAGCATATATAATTTTTAAAAAAATCCAGTCTACAACTCTGTAACTTGCAATAGGTGCAAAATCCCTTCCCATAAAGCATCAGATACCCTATATTGTTTGTACCTTAACTCTTGGAGGGTTCTTCAGGAAATATGATGACAATAATTACACCACGTTGAACTATGTGTAAACAGACATCGGCATCAGTTTCTACTTTATAAATTATAACAGGCTTTTAGGAACCCGAATGTAATAGTTAAATATAGGCTAAATACAATTATATAATTTTTTTAAATCCTGTTGCATAATCATTTATTATAAAAGAGGACATGTAAACATTATTAAATGCAGTTATAATTAAGTCACAATTATGTACATTCCTGATACTTGTATTACGTTGGACAGTAATACACGTGTAGCGTACTGGAGCTCAGTTGGAAGTTGTAGGGGAGAGTAGCCACTACACACGTGTATGTAATTACATTGAAGGCCTTATATCAATTACTCTCCAGCGAAATCCTAATATTTTTAATACTGTTTCTCAAGGCTAGATTAAGCTTTTGTCCAAGGGAGTTTTATGTCTGAAGGGATTTTGTCCTATGGGGATTTCGGCCAAAGGGGATTTTATCCTAAAAAGATTATGTCCAAAGGGAATTTTGTTCTATACTCGGCAGCCTTTAGGGAGAGTTAACAATGTGTATAAGTAAAAACAAAACAAAACAATGTCAGTGCAAACTTTTTCGGAGTGAGGGTTGTGAACTCTTGGAACCTGCTTGTGACGGCACAGAGTGCGAGCGCATTCACTTGACCAACACTGACGCAAGTACTTTTTACTTTTATCCTCTTCGCCACTGATCGGCTCGTTAGCCGCTTGTGCGATCGGTCCCGTCTTTGTTACGCACTGTTGGCAAGTACTGGGCATGCACTGGCTCCTGAATGTATCTGAATCTGCCCCAGTGTTGGTCAAAGTATTGTGGGGTACGGGTTATTTGGTTCACACTCAGGATGGGATGGAGAAAGGAAACTCACAATGTGCTCTCTGTATACATGTTGTATTGAATGTACAATGCAGCTTGGTGCTGAGAAGCGGCAGCGTGGTTACAAGCGTGAGGTAGAGAGAGCTGGTTGGTGAGGGTGCTCAGAGGGGGACCAGCTTGTGGGTCGCCATGCTCGCCGGCGGGAGCGAGGGCCGCCAGGCAGGAGCGGAGGAGGTGGTGTTGCTTGCTGGTTGGTGTAGGTAGAAAGAGAGCTAGGTCACCACGAGGTCAGGTCTTATATAGCGGAGGTAGGCTAGAGTGTGTGCCGCCCGGGGCGGCCCTTGAGTTTGCCCCCCCCCCCCCGTGCCCCCACAAAAAATACATATTGCACAGTGACTGGAGGTTGAAGGTCGAGACTAGGTCGGCGATCGTACCCCTAAGTCCACTGCATAGACCTAGTAGCTCGGCGTAGCTGGCTGTACGCTCTCACCATGAACGGTTACGAGTTTGATAACGTGGCGCGGATACGTCCGGATACGCCGACCTGCCCCAAGAAAGTAAACCTCCTAGTTCTCAAGAAGTTCTTGAAAACTAATGAGATCGTGGGGGTCACCAAGGTGGAACGACTGAAGCTCCATGGTGACATCAAGGTCACCTTCGCCGAGAAGGGTATGCCCGTACAGCTCGCGGAGATCCCAGACATCACCGGCATTCCATTTAAAATGATTGCCTACAAGTGGGACAACCTGATGCTGGGAGTAATCTCCCACGCCGAAATTGCCCACGTGGACCAAGCAGAGCTGAGTGAGCTCCTCAAGGGGCAACTCCAAGTTGTGAAGAAGCTGTCCGACACCACTGCCCTCATCGGACACCATACAACCTTACCCAAGGAGGCTCAACTGGCGTGGGTAACTGTGCCAGTCAAGCCCTACTGCAGACCGAAACGCTGTTACAAATGCCAGCACTAGGGACACACTGTCAACAAGTGTGAGGCGCAGGAGGACACCTGCTCCCTGTGCGGCAGCCCCGGACACCGCTACACGGTCTGCCCCAACACAGTAAAAAAAATGCGCTGCCTGTGGCGGCCCACACTCCTCCGCCGATCGGACCTGCCCGAAATGGAAGGAGGAATGCAGGATAGCCAAGGCACGACTCGACAAGAAACTGAGCTACAAAGAGGCCCTCCTCGCTGTACGCTCCCAAGAAAAGAAAAAACCAGCAGAAAAGAAAAAACAAGAAAAGAAAACACAAGAAAAGAAAACTCAAGAAAAGACACCCGCCACACGGAATCAAGAACACCACGAGGCCCGTGGAGCTGAAGCCCACGTGGTCAACCTCACCGTCTCCGACTTCTTCCACACCTATGAGGACTTAAGACACGAGGAAGACGAACAGCAAGACCCAAACACGAACGAATGGACACTCCAAGAGAGCAAGAAGAGGAGGAGAGTTAGAAGAAAATCTACATCAAGCTAAGAAGAATACCAAGACATTTCCTCCACCTGACGCTAGCCTGACTTTGTCCTGTCGCCTCCTGGCCGCGTCCGGGCGAGTTGCTGCTGCCTCCAACTTATACTCCCTCACGCAAGCGGTGTTTAGCCACTGCACCTATTCTCTCCTCCTAAAATTCACTTCAATCCTCCCTTTATTCTTCCCCTGAACCTCCTTCCCCCCTGTCACTAGCATTTCATGTCATGTCATGCTGTACGCTGATTGGCTGGTAGGCGCGCGGCCGGAGCTCAGTTGGAAGTTGTAGGGGAGAGGAGCCACTACAATATACCTGAATTCTGTAATGCAAGGGCTGATTCAGGGGTCCTGGGAGTTAGGACCCCCTTTTCATCAGTAAAATCCAATACTTTTTCTTTAATGCAGTATTGTAGTCAGGCATTTTGGGATAGTAAAAAGTAATTACTATTGACCTCAGAAATCTACTAATATCAAAAGCACATGGCTTCAAAATTCCCATGATATTGGTCAGATTATAAAAAAAAAAAACCGGGAGCGAGGTTTACAGCCCCCTCCCCCTAAAAAACCCAGCTGGGCGGGCTCGCCATGTTCCCTCACTCAAAACTTCTTCGACCCCTTCCCTTTTTTATATTCCTGGACCCGCCCTTGAGTATAATTTACAAAGGGGGCATGTAGATGGACTAGTATAATATATAGTAATTAAACTGTATGGCCTATTAGACAAGATTTATTTATCCTATAAAATAAGTTACAATATTTTTTAATTACTTTTGAACAATATCTTGGGATCATTTAAATTTGTTTCATCAGCTTATTTCACCTATAGATTAAACACCCTAATCCTACCTAGGGATTTATGTTAAGTTAGGTTAGGCTTAGGTCACTTTAGGTTTATGAAAACTGGGATCGAGATGAAATCCACAGCGAAAGTACACCAACAACTTCTTCCTGCACCCAGAGATTTACTGTAGATCTATTGAGCATCACTACCATATGACACTATTCCCACGATGCACCCACTCCTCCCAGCTAGGAAATCGATTAGGCTTAACCCCAATTCCAGTTGACTGTTATATACTGCATAATATTATGGAAGTACACTTCGTGCTTCAAATAATCTTCAATGGTGGCTCTCAACATGTTCCCAGTACAGTAGAAGGACGGGAAGTGCAGTTGTCGTGGTATACATTGTAGATAACGTGTACATTGTATAGTTAATATAGAGCTTACTGATTCCTAGGCTATTTGTGTAATTGGAGCCTTTTACACTGCCATCCGTAGGTGGATTATGGGGTGTACAATAGACGCCGCGAAAGTTAAATGTAATGTTGATATTGTTTGGACGATAATTTTGTGCGTCAGCTTTAGGCAGTCAGGCGCATTTTTATATCAGCAATTACTAAGAATATTCATAGAAAAAAAATGAAAATCTGACTTTAATACCTTCAGCCGAGATAGAGGGAGATAGGAAAGGGTTGAGAGACGGAATGGGCGTGACTCCACCTTACCCTCCCTCCCCCACACCACCAGTATTCACCCTAAAGCGGGAATATAAAGCTAAACAACACTAAATACGATACATGTACAGTACTGTACCAACATTTTGGTTTCCACTTTATCCGAGTCGTGATATGAGCAATGTAAGAGATTCTACAATAAAGTTTTCTGCAATGAAAAACAAGTTATAATTCTTAATTTATTCCATTTCATGCTTTGAGGGATATTTTATAGTTTAGTTTATTACAGTTACTCTCTGCATTGTATGGCACGGTAATATTAATATATTCATATCCTCACTATAATTCATCAGATGCAATACTGAAAAGCGTTAAGTAAAATCAAATTGTATAATCGATGCTTAAGTAAAATCACAGATCTCCGCGTACAATGACGTAAGAATCAAGCCTATTAAGTTCTGTATTATTTCAGGTATGTCTTAATTGCATCGTCATTTGAATAGCTACTTATCACAATGAACTACAGACATTATATATATATATATATATATATATATATATATATATATATATATATATATATATATATATATATATATATATATAACAATTATCAATATTAAAAATACCCAACAGTAATAATAGCGAGGTGGTCATGTAGTACTGTAGTGTAATCCACTTCAGTACATTTAAACTTCAAACCAATAAGTAGAAGTAAAAGTATTTTCGAAAACTTATGTATGGCAATGACCCCTGTACTTTTATATATACTTACAGATTACTAGATAAATACTTTTTTGTAAAACTATTCAGCAAAGCTAGCTATGCGTGTTCCATATAAACCGATTATTAAGTGTAATTGATTCATGTTCCCGCACTTGCGCGAAATTTCTGTCGTCTGCTTTGGTTCCAGAGATATTCTAAATTCTGATAATGTGTCAATTTTAAATTCTTTACGATTTGTATATGCTAAACTAATACTGATCAAAGGCTTTATGATTCCAATTAGTATTTAAATTGTATAAATTAATTTTAAGAAGAAACTGAAAGTGGCAATGTATTTTCAGAAGATTTCAGGAGTGGGTGGAGGAAGCGAACATCTTGGCAGACGCAAGGATGATGGAGGAGGGGGTATACGGCGGCGGCAAGGCGGGGGCACCTTTTGACCCGCTCACATTTATCCAGCGGCCCCAGGTCATCCTCAGGGCAGTAACTTGGGTATGTAACATCACTGGATCCTTTAGCCATAATATTTTGGCACTTTGTTCACTGGTGGCAGTTGTTTGGCCCCAAACCTGATCGGCTTGTATTGATTTTTGACCGAGTGTAGAGGGCTAAACTTGGACTAAAGTATATAGATGGTAGTTGATATGCCCAGCTTGACACACTTAGGAGCTGACGTTATGTGGCCGCAGTCCAGTAGGTTTACTAAGAACCCTATTGATCTGTGAATGGTCCTGTGACATTGAGTCAGTCGTGGTAAAAAATGGTGGACGAGTTGTGGCGTTTCGGGACATTTTTTTCTTTCTTTGATTTAATGCACTTGTTTGTTCCCCGTCGGCAGTGATAGCTCCCCTTATTTGAGATAATTACCTAATTCTTACGTCATACAACTCCATTAGTCCATCACCCAACTCTTCACTCAATGCTGAGATAATTCATCAATTTGCATGACTGATCATTGTGTTATTCACCCATGTCTAAGATAATCCTTATGTTTTGTTTAATATAATTCCAAAACTTCCTCATAATGGTAATTCCGCTTCAGGCTTGGTTGAAATACTGTCATTATTTAATTAATGTTTAATTCCCAAAGTACTGTACAGTACATTATGGTTGAAATAATTCAGGGTAATCTCTAAGAATATGGCTATTTATTCTGTTGTCCATTGCTTATTTACAATTGGTACCATCATTGTGGGTGGGGTCATGTGTATGTATCCCTGGCAGGCTTTGATGAGACTTGTCAGTCTTTACATAGACCAACGATTACAGGTAGGTACCTTTCCAAGAGCATTATCATAGGCACACACCCCAGAAAAAATAAATGTTAATTTAGAACCTATCCTACACTGTATATCACTGTACAGTATTAAAATATCAAATAGGCAATTTTGTTCTCGGCACTTGGAATGTTTGTACAGTGGTGGCCAGGCTGTAATCATTCATGCTCCGTAATTGCGAGGAGCACCAACTTATTCAGGGAGATATTGGCCTACTGTAGTCAGCTGTCTGTCTTCATGCTGCAGACTTAAGCAGTCACTGGATGGTGTGTCTCTTATTGCCTAGCTGGAGAACCTAATCCCCTCTTGAGTAGGGAAAATCTAGGTGGTAAGCTGGTAACCCTTGTATCATCCTGTCAGCTGAAGGTAAAGACTAAAGCTTTTGCCTGATTTTGTAACACTGTCAAGACTTCATCAGATTTTAACTTGATTTCCCTGACGGTCACCTAACTACAGTAAGAGGTGGCCATGTTGAGGGAAGGAGGCCAGTTGTCTGTGTTGGATTCCTCGTTGTTATTGCATAAATCACCCGATATTGAATTTTTAGAATTTTATGGTTGCAATCAATAGTTTTGACAATGCTAAGGCACTTTTCTTCTATGATGTTTCCTTTGCAAATGACTTATATACAGTATGTGGGGGGTATAGGAGGTTAGGTTAGGTCAGGTCATCTGTGAGAGAAACATCATTGAAGAAAAGTGTCTTAGAATTGTCTAAACTATTGATGGAACCATAAAATTCTCAAAATTTAATAACGGGTGAGTTTATGCAAATTTACCGATTCCTCCATTGTTCTTGATATTCTTGTCAAGGGCTATTTTGAACCCCAGTATTGTCCTCGCTTCCATGGCTGAAGCGATCAAACTTCCATAGGTCTACTCCTTTGCGAGCTTGAAGTTGTCCTCGTGTGTTTTAGTGTGCGTGACATCACGAAAAATTGGTCTGGGTTTACATTTTCCAATCATTCAAGATTTTGAATGTCTTGAGGTCAGTGCTGTAGTGTCTTAGTAGGAAGAGTTGTCAGTCCTAATGCCCTCAGTCTATTGTACTTGGATAATTGAAACCATTTACTTCAAGAATAATCTGTTGCACCTTTTCTAGGGATGTTATGGCTTTCTGGAGATATGTCTCTATGACTAAGGTAGCATCCAGCACCACCATGGCTGTTACAAAAGACAACAGGTTATCATATGCACAAGTTTCTCCAGTAAAATTTAATGAGTGGTCCTGTGTCATGGGATATTTCTCTTACGTGATACACAGTGCTAGTTCCCCAGAGTCATTTTTGGGCATGGGTGACAAAATTTATACTTATTGTGATCGATGTATATCTACCCCACACTTGCCTCTGTATTATGGTGAGACATTACTGTACTCAACATGAGATATAATAAAGTTTTAACACATTCACTTGACCAAGAATCAGGTAGTTCAAAGAGATGGCTTTTGCAAATACAGTATACAGTACAGAGAATTTTGAGCATGGAAATAAGATTTTAATAGATATCAATGATAAGTATTTCAAATTTAATCATTATTTAATGAATAATAAGGACATTTCTTAGGGTGGCATTTACCTAATGGCCACCTACTAGAGGTGGCCATGCTGGGGGGAGGATGCCAGTGGCCTGTGTAGGACCCTCCATTGTTCTTGGTAATTTTGTCAAGGGCTATCTTGAAGCTCAATACCTGATTTCACATCTTGGGCTGAGCATGTACAATACTGTATGTGAACGAACCATGATACTGGGTACCGTGTAGCCTGAAATTTTAGAGAAATAAAATTAGCTCAATCCTATTTTCCTCCCACCCATCAAAACAATACCTACTGTATACAGTACTGTGCAGTACATATTTTCAAATATAATAAAAAAAATTAATTGACAATTCTATTTGTCAATAATTTTATTGCCATTTTCTATGCGTGTGTGGGTTAGCTGTGATTACCTAATGTCAGTTCTCTATGCTGTATGGCCTCTGGAATTCTCTCTTGTCGAATGTCATTTTCTACCTCCTATTTCGGCTTACCGGTATGCACCTTTTGACCCATTTTCTCCACATGACCAAATCATCATGGCCTTTCTATGTGCCAATCTACACCAATACTCTCAATACTGTACCCAGCTGCCCTCTTAGCTCTGACGAGGTCTTCTTGTTTTTCAGTGTCATACCACAGTCCTTATTTTATGACCATTTTATTGCCTACTGTGTCTGAAAAATATTTGTCAAAGATAGGAAAACACAAGGTACAGTCACCCCCACATTACAAACATTTGGGTTATGAAAATTTGCCCTTACCTGTATTAAATTTCTAAATTTAGACTATTTAGTTTGAGATACGGAATGAAACTTTGCCAATACGGATTTATTTATTTATTTTTATAATAAAGAAAAAAAATATCAAATTAACTGTGTGTATGTATATGTTGATTTCATAACATCTTTGTACACCAACAAGTGTACCAGTCTTGTTTACATCTTCTAGTGTGTGTGTAATGCATGATCCTTAAACTTCCTTTGCACTTTTACAGTATTTTATATGATCTTTAGGTTCATATGGTTTTAAATGTACAATATGTAATTATAGATGTTCAATCAGAATCATTAAAATGTATTAAAAAATATAAATGACGGTAAATAGCATCACAACTTATAATTGTGTGAACATATACAGATGCTTTACGAACAGTGTGAGCGCCCGGGCCATTTAGCACATACTGTACAGGTACAGTACAGAACAGTACCAGTATACTGTGGTGTCCCGCTGGTACCACCCACCCGGCCTGTTAAAGTGGAACTTTATTTTCATTATTATTCTGCCCACAACTGTGGCACAAGGTAATGTTTTCAGTCCTGTAAAGTATGTATTTGAAAATTGTCTATAAATTGATCAGGTGTTGTTGTCATGGTAACGATTTGTGCAAGAACAGTTTTTTGGGTGTGAAAGAAAATGATGACATGACTCAGCCACACGGAGGGATGAGTGAGGTATGATTTACAGTACTAGTTATAGTAAATTATACTTCACTCATACAGTTCCAGAGGTTTTGAACATACTGCAGTATACTAAGGCACAAGTGAAAAAAAAAATCTTTTTTGACTCGAGGCTTGACTCCTCAATTAAGTCTTGAGACTTGCTCTCAGTGACTCATGACAAACTTGAGACTCAACAAGAATGGCTTGTAAATATCTGCTTAGACCTGGGTCAATCTGTAGATTTAGTTTCTACATACAGGATGTGATTTGTCTGGTCCAAGCTTAGTCATAAAATGGGATTTTAGGATCACTCCATTTATGGCTTCATATGTTTAGATTTGTACCATTGTACATGGTAAACCTTTAAGAGCAAGTCTGTATTTATGATGATAATGTAACCAAACGTATGTTACGGATGGGACTTTGATAATATTTTTGTTTGTTGCAGTTGTTTTCCGTCATCATCTTTGGGTGCATCTCTGCAGAAGGCTGGTCCAAAGACGCGAAAGGGGTTGAACACTGTCACTACAACAATGACAGCAATGCTTGTAATTATGGTGTTGGCATCTCTGTTATTGCCTTCCTTGCATCCATTGGCTTTATTGTTGGCGAATATTTCTTTGAGCAGATGTCATCTGTCAAGACCAGGAAGCGTTATGTCATGGCAGATATGGGATTTTCAGGTGAGTTACTTTTAGTGTTGCAAGTTTTTTTTAACACTGTACAGTACAGTGAGTTCTGCTATAACGCGTGTTTTGATAACGCGAATTTGCTCTAACGCGATTTATGAATAGAGGAACGATATTTGTATAACGCGAACGCTTGTTTGCTGTAACGCGATTTTTGCTTACTATTTCTCCAATTTTGTGGTATTAACTGTGAATATGGTAAAGAAGAATATCTCCAAGAAGCGTTCTAGTGATCGAATTCCCGGTGATGATCGTAAAAGAAAGAATATAACACTTGAAGAGAAGCTCGATGTTATCAACCTCAAAATCACCCTTCTCCCCCATCAAGTTATATTCATATTTTTTCAAGGTAAAGTGTTACATTTACTGTATGATTTCATTATTAGATATGAATGTAACATTTATTTAGACTGTGCTATCCTTTGTGTTAGGCTAACTACTAATTTTTTTTTCGATTTCGAGTAGTAATCTGCACCTAACCCTATTTTCTCCATAAGCCCTGTTATTTCTATTACGCGATTTTCTATAACACGATATTTTACAAGAACACAACTATCGCGTTGTAGCAGAACTGACTGTACCTGTAATAATAATAAGGCCATTAATTTTTATTTAATTGTATTAAATCTGGCAGTCAAAAATTCATTAATTTTCAAAATTAAAATGATTCACATCCATAATTATTATGTTTTCTGTGAAAGTAGAGCTGAGAAAAAATTATAATACAGTAATTTGCAAGAGAAAAGTTCCTGAGTTTAATCGGTTTGTTTTACAAAATTTTATTACCCGAATACTGTACCTGTATTGAAATATCACTCATTCCAAACGTTACATGTTAAATTTATGCATTATATTAATTTGTCTGAGGTGAGAAAAAAATCTTATTATTTTTCCCCACCTCCTTAGGGTTATGGAAATATCATTGAGAAACAGTTAGGCAAAAAATAACTGGCTTGAGAGGAGTGAGTGAGCAATTACTGTATTTTATGGCATATACAGTAAAGTCTTCCTTTACGCTGTCAATTGAACCCGTGGAGGTCCGCGTAAAACGAGAAACGAGTAAACGAAATAACAGAACATATGGGATTAATTGAAATAGAGACTGGGCCGACCCCCAAACTACACTTTTTCCCACACAATACATACGTTGTAGTAAAAATAACATCTTAATTTTATGATGGTATGCACACACACTTAATATTTAAGAGAAATATCAATAATATTAGGATTTTTAACACTTACGTTAGTAGAAAAGATGCCTGGGCACACGGGGATGGGGGGTTGGTTCCGTGGCAGAGGGCAGATTAATGGCCCTCACCTGTATCACTATCCACCACAGAGGCTTGCAGGGCCTCTTTGTCAAACCCCTCAAAGTCCATTTCCTCACTATCACAGACTTGGGCCGGCTGTGGTGGGTGGCGGGTGAAGAACTGGGTAATGTTTTGTTGACTGGGCGACCTTGTGCACACCCTGCCTGTGCCGTTTCCTGCGTAAATGATGGAATGAACCGTGTAAATAAAAATTGTCGGTCTGGCAAGGTGCCGCTTAAATGACCAAACGCGTAAACCAAATCCGCGTAAATCGAGACTATACTGTAATGGGATTGAGCTCAGCGTGCATTTAATTAGTGAAAGTCCCTTTATCTCGTTTGATGTACAATATCCTACTGATTGGTCAACCATCACCCAGGCTGCCATTACTGCATGCTGATTGTTCAACAGTATTATTACTGTTACAATATTAGTAGCTCATTAAATGTGAGTGTACAGTACAGTACTTTATAATTATAGAAATTTAACATAATAGAGATTTGTCAGTTTATCAGCAGAAATTATCCTTTTAATCTCAGACGGTTTTCAAGAACAAATCATAAAATAAATTACAGAAATGAAAAAAATAACAAAAAGAAAACAGATCAAGAGTGAAAAATTATATTCAGTAATATCTCTGTTAACTGGCATCCCTCTTAACCGGAACTCTCCAATAGCCAGAATTGAAATTTTCTCGGAAAATTCTGAGAAAATTTTCCTGGTACCTGGAAAATTCCGGGGATGGAGGATTTTTTCCAGGTTTGAGAGATGAAAATCAGGCCAATTTTCCGGAAATTCTGAGAAAAATTTTCTGGTACTAGGAAAATTCCTGGGATGTGCGACTTTTTCTGGCTTTGAGAGATAAAATAAGTATCGTTCTGGAAAAGACTGATAAAATTCCTGTACCCGTAAAATTTCTGAGGATGGGGTATTTCTTTTCCAGTTCGAGAGATGACGTAATATGCAATTTTTGGAACTTCCAAGAAAATTTTCCCAGTGCCTGAAAAATTCCGGGAATGAGGTATTTTTTTCGGCTTTGAGAGAGTCATCTCTTTGCCCGGAAATCTCTCATTCCTGGAAGTGCTTTGCACCAATTGGTCTGGCTAACAGAGATATCACATATGTTGTGTTGTCAAAGTAAGAGAAACAATTGAGAGTCCTGTATTTGTGTGTAAATGAGAGAAACAATTGAGAGTCCTGTATTTGTGTGTAAATGAGACAAAGTCAATCAGATCAGCAACCTGGAACTTGGTCACAATTTTTGTGATGCCATATGGCAGCAGGGTTGTAGTACAGTACCTCCCTGTTTGATAGCTGCCCACTACTTATTAATTTGACAGGATTGGTCATGATAGAAATAAGTGTTATATTAACTCCTTGTGTATGGCTTCTTTCTGAACATAATAAAATTGTATGGCCTTAGGCAAATAAAATATTAAAAGTGGCATCCCCGTAGTGAAGGAGTTAAGTATAGTATGTTGTAATCATTGCTACCCACTTAAAGGGAGAGATTGTGAAGTGGTTATACCTTACCTGATAACACTGAGACCTGGTACATTTAAAGAGGTTTTGTGTGATGCTTGAATTATGAATTGTAAATGTTTTTTAAGATTAGTCACAAAGTTTTTATTTTTTTTATATGCATGTCTACTACGAGTACCATATTACATATTTCATAGAGGTTACATAAAAAAATAATTATCCTGCGTAATAATGTTGGTCCTTTTCAGCATTATGGTCATTTCTGTACTTCATCGGATTCTGTTACTTGACTAACCAATGGACCAAAGCTGAAGCCCCTGAATATGTTGTCAACAACATGCAAGCAGCCATTGTCTTCAACTTCTTTGCAATCTTCCCTTGGGTAAGTTGTTATGTTGAGTTCTTGTGCTGTCTTTTCTTCCTTCTTTCTGTGCATCCAGTTCAATAAGATCCTCGTTACTTAGCTCTTCTGCTACACTTTCCACCAACTGCTCAACATCTTCATTATCAATTTCTAACACCAGTTGTTTACCCATCTGCAATATCTTGTTAATAATCTCAGAAATTGCTTCATCTTCATTAAATCCTTTGAAACTGTTCACATATCTTTTCAGGACCTTCCATATTCCATTCATGCACTGACCTGTAACCATTTCCCATGCTGCAGCTATGTTCTTTGTACATTGCAAAATGTTGTAGTCCTTCCAAAACTCTGAGCATTTTCTCACTTTCAGTAGCAGCAATAGCCTGAGCGAAGGTAGTATGTAAATAGTGTAATACGCTTTAAAAGCAGTAATAGCACCTTGATCCATGGGTTGGATGATAGAGGTAGTGTTAGGTGGAAGGTAGACTACCTTAATATCAGGGTGCAGGTCGTCCAGGTGTGGTGGGTGCTCCGGGACACCGTATCCCGTAGCACTTTCTAAAATTAATAAAATCTTGAACGCAATTCCTTGTTGCAGACAAGACTCCTTGGCTCATGGAATGAAACAACTCAGGAACCAATCTTCAAACAGTGCTAGGATCATCCATGCTTTCTTATTACTGCAATAAAACACTGGCAGTGTGTGCTTGTTGACATTTTTAAAAGCCCTTGGGTTCTCTGAATGATATATCATGAAGGATTTTACCTTGAAACCAGCTACATCCCCCCCCCCCCCAACAGAAGTGTGATTCGGTCCTTGAATCCCGGCATGGTTTTCGCCTCTGCGGATGTATATCCGTTCTGGCATGCGTTTCCAGAATAAGCCAGTTTCATCCACATTATATATTTGCTCAGGCAAATAATTTCCCTCCACGATGACACTATCTAGCTCCTCCTTCAAAGCTTCGGCAGTACCCACATTAGCACTTGCTGCCTCTCCACTCACCTTTACACTGCAAATTGTAATGTTTCTTAAACCTTTGGAACCACCCATGACTTGCTGTGAAGTTTTGGTTGCATTCATCTCCTGCCTGCTCTTTCAGGCTTTCGAAAAGGCTTCTTGCCTTATAGCCTGTATGGTTAGAAGGCTTAAGGGTACATGCTTTTCAGCTGATCTTCCATCCATATCACAAGTAATTTCTCCATCTCATGAAGAGGACCTTGTCTTTTTTTCGTTATTATTGTTCTCTTTATAGGTGCTGATCTTTTCACTACCTCACGAATTCGTTCCTTGTCCTTCAAAATTGTTGCTACCATTTTTCCATTTTCATATTGCATTATTATTTTCATTTTCATCTCAAAAGTAATTGACTGTCTCTTTTTCTTCTCAGCACCACCAGAACTCTCACTTTTAGACTTGCCAGCCATTTTAAAGGGAATTACAAACGAAAGTTTTGTCAGTACACAGCGCGATCACTAACAACAACGACGGCCAAACACCAACTGAGCGGGCTACGGCATGTATACTGTACACCACGAGGCGGACCAGCCCAAGCTGTCGTATGGCGTCACATTACGACCAAACGTCGGGACTCGAAAATACGTAATGCAAAAAATATTTTATACGACCATGGCGGTCGTATGTCCGGGTTGTCGTAATTCGAGGAAAGACTGTACTGTATTGCCAACTCAAGAAATATTTCCTTAACTTAAGAGAAGTAATTAAACTCGGAAGTTGGAGACTCATTCCAGGGCTAAGGCAGGCACAACTGCTTAATTTTTATACACATACATATCCAATCTTAGAAATTGTGGACAGCAATAATATCTTTTTTTTTTTTTTTTTTTAACTAAGGAAAATAACCCCAAATTATTGATGGCTGAAAAACAGATGTCACATTTCTGTGCCACTGTTAATTTAGAGGAATACAGTATATTTTCAGAAAGCGGATATTTAATCGTATCAGTCCTAAGCATGGTCTAATATTGTATTTCCTAAAGTTTATTTACACTTACACATGCACACAAATATTAGAACCTCGCTAATTTGGCTTCTATTAATTCAAAGTACAGCAGGGTCTTAGAGTATATGAGGGTTACATTTCTTTGAAACCCTGAAGAGCCAGAGTTATCACTCAATCCGTATTTGGTTATTTTAAAACTCGTAATTTTGAGTAGACATGTACTGTATACAATTTTTTTTAACTGTTACATGCACAGACGATCTTTCACCATACAGAATGCCCCCAAAAATTATTATAAGGTCAAAAACAAGGGAATAAACATGTCTTACGTGTGCAGGACTTGTCACAGAGTGAGGATAGACAAACGTAAATTTAATTAATTATTTTTTCTGTTACGTGCACAATTTTTCAAATATAATGGGTTTTATTTTTTTAATTACTATTATTTTTTATATATATATAACAAGGTCAAACGGAATAAAAATTTCCTACGCCCACGTAAGTTAGTGTGGGAGGTGGGTGCGGCATCAGGATTTCAGCCTCCCCTACCAGGCCAAGCTGTGAGCTATATTATTGTTATTTTTCAACTCGTAATTTAGGGTAGATATACCGTACATGATATTATTAATTTATTTATTTTTTACTGTTTCTTACCTACACACACACATTTCCAAAAAAGGCCAGTCTTGTCTGCGATGAATACTTGTTCTAACATGTAACCCTTCTTCTGAATTAACTTTTTTATTATTTGATATACAGCACAATGGCTTGGTGATCAGGTGATGCTGATTCCCCAGAGAGTTTCACATTGTGTAGACTATCTTTTCTTAAATTTTTCAAACTACCCCTTACTGGCTTGACACTCTGTCTGCTACACTTCCCTCACCTGAACTTTCAACAAGGCGGTTGTACATCTGCCTGGCCTTCACACAAATTACCTCTTAACTTGAAGGTATATTTATCCTGGCCTGGTCTTCCATCCATATGTTTAGTGTTTTTTTTTTTTTTCATCTTTTCAAGATTATGGTCGTGTGGCATATATGTCATTTTTGCACTTTTCGGTGTACCACCAGCAACACTTGCCCTTATCATAGCCTTGCTCTCTTTGATGGCATGAATCGAGGATTCGTTTACCCCATAGTGCGTCTCACTGATGCTATACTCTCCCCACGTGCTAGCCTATCAAACACTTCAACTTCCTTTTCTAATGTCATTTTGTTTCTTGCCCTTTTCACCTCCTCACCTTTATCACTCACACTCAATGAATGCTTAGGAGCCATAGTTAAGGATAAAATCGATGTTAATACAGTAGAAAATAAATGAGAATGCGGGGCAGTGCAGTATGTCAGCATGCAACGAGATCACAACACTGAGAGGGTGTAGGTAGCAGTGGCGGGAGATGGGACGCTGTGTGGAAGAATAAAGACGGTACATAAAACAAAATGCCAAGGCCGGTGAAATGGTAGAGTGAAAGCCGTGGATACTTAGAATCGGTGGTTGGCGGAGGCTACTGTATGATTAGCCAAGAATACTGTACCATAAAAGCAGTTAAAACGTAAAAAGTAAGTAAGGGTACTGTATTTTGTTTATTTACAACACATATATTGTATGTGTACACGGGTACTGTAATAGCATAAATAAACACAACTCTGTGTCTGTACATGCGAGATGCATATTTTAGACTCGGAAAACTTTCCCCAGTACTGTACCCGGAAAGATTATGGTGATATGCAATTTTTTCCGTGGATGAAAATATTTGTCTCCATACCCAGAAATCTACCAATCCTGGAAATTCTCTGCATCAATTATTCTTGCTAACAGAGGATCTCACTGTACAGTATAGTATATAGAATATCTTTCGAGCAAAAATGTACAGTATTGTAAAATGGTTTGAGAATTCTAAACTCTTGTATGAAAAAGTTTATTCCTTTCTAGGCTGGTGCAGCATATCTTGCATTCTTGAGGTACAGGCAGGGATCAGCCCAAGCTTTTGCCCCAAGTTATGAGGCTGACCCCACCAACATGGGTGGATACAACAGCTACCCAGATGCCACAGATCCTGATGGAGGTTATTCTCAGCCTCCATTTGCTGGGCAGCCAGCACAACCTCAATCAGGTAATGAGAATTTCCCTTCTGAAGAGATTGGCTACCAATCACAGGCCTAACATCTAAGAGAAGAATGGTTAATTACATATGGGATGATTATATGAAATTTATGATACAGAAACGAGAAATCAGAGTTGATATTTTAAGGAAATGTTAAAGAATATAGTTATATAATTCTCACAGTGCAAAGTTATCCACAATTACATCTCTATTTCTTTAGCAAGACAACTATAAATTTGAGTATAGAATACCTGTAGAGTAAATTTGCATGTTATTCAATATTTTAGATGATTATATTGAAGACGTTGGTGATGCATGCTTGCTTATTATATACTGTATAGTACTATGCATTATTGCTAGTACCCAGCTTTTATTCAAGTACTTCCATCCTGGCATACAGGTATGCAGCAGGCACCGCCCTATTAGGCTGCAGGCGTGAGTGTTTCTTAAAGCTCAGCTAGTCAGTCAACTTCACTAGTCAGCACCGCTCAGCTGGATAGCACCAACATTCCTGCCGCAGCTAGCCACCAAGTATTGCCGATATTCGCCAGCTTTCCCTGGGGGCTGGGCCATCCAGGAAATTTCACTAGTCAGGGGCAGACACAGCCCTTGCACAGTGTTGTGTTATGTTGAGATTGTTGGGGAAATAGGAACTATGTTGTACCAAAGGTGAGGCTTAGGTAAGAGAAAAAATTTTGTCGACTCTAAAAGTCACCTCGCTCATTTGTTTACCTCACCTTTCGGAGGAAAATCTTCCTTTAATAAATAAGGAAAACTTGAAAGTTAACCTCTCGTTCCGTTACTGAGGTGTTATTGGCGGGGTAGTGTGTTAACTCTTAAAAAGATTGTTTGTTCTTCATATTAGCCAGATCAATGGATCAGTTAATTTTAACACTTTGGGATAAGCCTACATTTTACATGTAAGAATCCCAAAAGGTATACATGTATTTTATGTAAAGAAGAGGCTTCATTGAAGTGTATTTTTACTTTAACAGTCAAGTTGTATACAGTTGTGGTAGTGTGTGTAGCAGTGGTACTTCCTCAGTAGATATTCCTATTAGCACTACTATGATACACCAATATACAGTGCCTAGGTTATTCAGTGCCTGGTTGACAAGTTTACTTGTTATCCTGAACCTGGAGTTTGGTTATTTATTATTAGATTTCATATAGATATTATACAAACTATGATATTGTGAAAAACCCAAATTATTGTTCTGGATAAATGTGCATCATGTCAGCTGGGGTTTGTTTAACTGAGGTAATGATGTATATGTGGAGTCTGTAACACCAAGAACAGTTTAAGTTTTCTCTTAAAAGACATGGTAATATTATTTTGAAAATGAAGATGGTTGATGTAAAGTATTGTAGATGTGTCACTCTTAATTTTAATAGGCCAGCATTTCTATACCTGTATAATAATTGGAAGAGCCTGTTTTCTATACTGTATATTGTATTTTAGTTATGAAGAGCATGAAAACTAGAAACAGGTGTCCAAAACCTATGGTCTGGTCAGTATAGGTAAATAAACCACAAGCGAATCTTACTCAAAGTTCCCACATTTTTGTGTTCAGGTGGATGACCTTACAGTTGTTACACAAGACGGCATCATTAATGTCATGACTTTTTTTTTCTTACTCATGTGCCAATAACCTGCAATAATAAATTAAAAGTCTTAAATACTTAAGGTGTGAAACACTACTTCAATTCAAATGTTTACTGTACAGGAAGTTGATGTGTAGTCCTGTGTAATTTACTAATGGAAGTGTGTGAAATGTGTGCCGTTTTAATTAGGTATGGATAGTGTACGTTTAGGGTTGCCAGCTTTATTTTTGACAATTGGAATGAAAAATAAAATTGTCACATGATGATCCGGTACTTTATTTAAAACTCATAATCTGCTGATCATGATTTAGATTTTTAAATTTTATACAATAATTTATGTAAATAAGTTTCTTGGAAGAAGTTACTGTCAACCTTCCTTATTGGTATTTTTACCTTTGTTTTTGTAGGACTACAAACCTGAAAATGGTAATGAGATTTTCCATAGAGGAGGATAAAGTGTTTATGCACAACACTCCATCCTGTCCAGCATCTTATATTATTATAGATAAATACCACAGTGATGGTTTGGAGTATACTTCTCATGTTTATATTTATCCCTTAAAAATTTACGCGCAGTACTACTTATACAGTACAGGGTACTTGTTTTTATTAAAAAATAACGATAAATTTCTGAAGTTGAGTATTATTATTAGTAACTAATTTGTATGATATTAATTGTACATCCACATCACTGGTATAATGAGAAAAGGTGCACGTCTTGATGATTTGAATTACGTATATAATATTTTTTAAGTTTTTATTGTTCATAGTTTTATAATATGAGAATGGAGCTGATGAAAGGAGTAGTAATTATAATGAAACTTGGCACAACACCTTTATATAGACACTTAAAAGTTAATTATTTATTACTGTGTGTTACTTGCAGAATTTGGAAAAGGTCTTAATGAAGGAAATATACTTTCATCAAAGTTAAGGACATATAAATGCAGTTTTACTAAATCACAAGATTCCCAAACCTGTGTATGCTAGAATTCATCAAAGACAATATTATGAGAAAAATATTCATATGGCAACCCTGCATCAGATGGTACATTATTGAGCATTCTTTCTTAATTATATGGAGTAAAAGCAGTGTAAACTCCTTAATTTGTGTGAAGGATTTTCAATTTATATTTTCAAGTATATTTTATGTATATAGACTGGAAAAGCAAATTAATATTGTTAATGTATTTTCCTTAAAACAGAAATGTAAAGTGTGGATATATTTATATATTTTGATCACAAAGCCATTATTTTTGTCATTAAGTGCTAAAATCTTCCACATGCTGTTTCTCCATTCCTAACATTACTTCCACATATCAGTCCAGAGTACTTATATGATCCAAGATTTAAAATTTTTGGAAAGATTGCATGCAAAATGGTATTATCAGGGATGAAAAAAAATACACATTGTCCCCAATTAAAAAGGATTTGAAGAGACTGGGCATCATTATGAATATCTATTTTCTTATGAATCTCTTGCTAATTTTACACTGCCTACACCAGTTCTAACACACTCTGGGAAAACACACCAATGGTGGTTCTTGTATTATTGTTGCGTATTATTAAACCACCTCAAGTCTTCATTGTTTGGTTGGCAAGACTTTTTTTTTGTGTAAATGTTGTACCTATGTGAAAAAGGCAGAGTAGCCAGGTTCTCTTTATGTAATCATACCTAGTTATTGGTGTATAAATGTACGTAAGTTTATTGCAGCGTCAGAGTTCGTGAGTGTAGCTAAAGAAATTGTTAAAAAAGGCCTTTCTGTAGTTAAGTTGACTGAAGGTAAACTGCCTCTGCAGCATCTCATGTATGTAACAGTATCATGTACTGTACTGAAAAGAAAGATTTGTTAAATAATTAATAGTTTTTAGAACTGTTCAAGTACAAGAAAGAGATGATTCAGGGGCTGTGGAGCTACACAAGCGATCTCTGATATTATATGTATAGTGAAAATTCAGTGCTGTAGATACTGTTGCCAGGCTAGGTGAGGAGGTTTGAAAGCGTTAATGGGTCAGCGTTCAAGGAATATCTGGCAAATGCAAATAAGATTTTCTTGCTAAAATTTCACTTTGAGGACCTATATATATATATATATATATATATATATATATATATATATATATATATATATATATATATATATATATATATATATATATATATATATATATATATATATATATATATATATATATATATATATATATATATATATATATATATATATATATATATATATATCTATCAAGAACACTAATTGTACTTTGTCGACATGAAGCTCTTCTTTAGTGTCGGTGAGAGTACTGTTCATGAAGAAAGGTCAGTATTTGTTTGTATACAGAGGCATTCCTTGATGACTGATTATTCCCATGATTGTTGCTGTTAAGTACTATACATTCCACATAGTTTTGGGAAATGGGTAGTCTTAAATTTTTTTTGATGAATGTATGTGGCTAACATTTACTTGAAGGTTAGTCAAGGTAATCTTGTTTTCATTTCGCTGTCTTTTCTTTATCTTTGAGTTAGAGGCATGTGGTGTCAAGTTACATAAGTAACAGGATAACCACAGTTAGTTACATATAGTTATGAGTTTACAATTTACTCGAATACTTAAATGCAACCTCTTCCAAGTGATTTGAAAATTTCTCACTCAATACGTTCTTTGACTTAAAAATCAAAATGAATTTGACCAGATGTACAGATTTTCTAAAAATTTCTTATAATTGTTATTAATTTTTGAAGATATAGATTCTCATGAGTTAACTGGCCAGTGCATTATTACAGCCCAGGACCTGTGCTGCAAATCATCGAATCTCATTTTAATGCTCACAAAACCTCTTCTGTACAGGAAGAAAGTACCAGGTATTTGGCTGATACTTTTATTCATAGGCCCCTTATTGTTTTAATTTTCATATATTGTGTATGTGAACTTTCATTTGAGTTCATGTGTGAACCTTCATCCATAATGGAATGTATTGTAATGCACACAATAAAACAAAAGTGCTTGAGACAATTTTCATATTTTTTTTGGTCCAAGTTGTAGGTGTACTTAAGTACAGGTCTAGAATCCTTTACCTGAAATTCAAAAACTGAAAAGATTCAAACCCTTTTAATTTTTTTACAGGCCTTACTGTATTTGAGTATAAAGGCAAAGAATTCTGGGTATCTTGGATGACAGGATAAAGACAAACCAATAAACTTTGCCAGTACAGTAACTTAGGATTGTGAAAAGTTGTGTATGCAAGTACAGATTCAACAAGTAAAATCTGGTTTGTGAGGAAAGTACATTTATACCATTACTATGTCACAATAAATTAATTGACAAACTTAGGTAATTGCAGATTGAATCTTAAAAGCAGCTGGATGGGACAATCAGCTGACCTGGTTAATGCTGTCTCAAAGCATCTTGACCTGTAACCCACAAACTTTTGTGTTTTGTGTAAAGTTTTTGCTGGAACAGTTAAAAAAATACCCAAACAAAATTATGTTTACTAAAAAAACAATTGTAAATTATACATCTAAAACTAAAGCAGCAACAATTGTACAAGTATTTGGTGAAAAAGTGGCGGTGCTAGTGGGGAAGAGAGAGCCTGCCAATATTTATTTGGTTTTATTTAGTGTTCGTAAATCAAATGAATCGTTACCAAATTCTGAAGTATACTCCTACAAAATTATGTTTATTGTAAAAATATCTTGAATGCAAAAAGGTGGGGAGTGGTAGTTAAGTAGAAAAATTACCTGTGTCAGATTTGTGGGCTAGATATTGTAATTTAGGTAAGCCTACACATTTATGTATGAAAATCTTGTAGGGTATAAAATCTTGATACAAATCTAATGCATTGCTAAAGGAAGTAGCTAAGGAAAGCATCAAGGCCAGGTATGTGGTGTCAGGGGGGGACTCCCAATACAGGTACTGTATACTTCATTTTATTTAATACCTGCACAGTGTACAGTAGACCCTCGCCAACAGCAGCATTTAGTTTTATGTATCTGCTGATTTGCATGACATTTTTATCCCTCTGCGGTCTAATGTATTCCTCAATAAATGTGAGGAATAAATAAAAACTAATACAGTACAGTATATAAAATAAAATAAAAATACTGCACTGCCATTTGGCAATATAGTTTCACTAAGGAGACAGGAGTGCCCTTCCCATACCATGATTGTTTATTCTCTATGTTTTTACCTTATAATAATCACTTCTTTTATATTTTTTTTGCACATTCTGTATGAACGATTTTGTGTGCATGCAACAGTAAAAATAAATGTATATACTGTATATCTACCCAAAGCTACGAGTTGAAAAAGAAAATTAACGCAACTCGCAGCTTGACCTGGTAGGCAACACCACACCCCTTCCTCTCCCATGATCTGACACTAACTCCGGTGGACATAAGAAATATTTATTCTCTTATGTTTTTGACCTACAGTATTACTGATATCACGGCCTATATATAAGGCGGCGGGGTGCATAAGACGCCCCCCCCAAATTTCCATTTAAAAAGTAGCTTTTGAGCTCTATTTGCTGTATAAGACCAGTACCCCAAATGTGACACTTACCCACTGACTCAGTAGTCCTTTACCAACCATCCTTGATTTTTTAAAATAAGGCCAATTCACTTCAAGTAATGTCATCAAATTATACTCGCTGGTGTAGTGTAAACACTAGTGACGTCACTGAAGCGTGGTGGGAGTGTTCCCTCGTCTGGGTGGTGTGACTATTTATACAACATGTGGTTCAACAGCAACCACCGTATTCTAATTGTGATGTTTCATTAGGATTTGAGTGAAAAAGGTTACCAGTATGTACTTACTACATACATTTATTACACATATATATATATATATATATATATATATATATATATATATATATATATATATATATATATATATATATATATATATATATATATATATATATATATATATATATATACTGAATATACTATGTACAAAAAATGAATGTTCAATGAATTATTTATGGTGCATTAGGGTACTAGCCACTTCTGATGGGCTATAAATAGCCTTCTTTATCTCCCCTACATCTCACCCTGAGCCAGACGGAAGGGTCTTGGTAAATAACATGTTTGCTTATTTTCCATTTACTTTAAATAAATTTACCGAATTATTTGTTTTATTTATTTATTTATAATATACTGTAATATATTAAACACACTGTAATTATTTTCTTTAATTTATAAACTGTTTTGCGACAAAGGAATGTTCTCCAGTAGTGTTTCATTAGGATTTGAGTGAAAAAATATTACGTACTTACACAATTGTTCCTCTTACTTTGACAACACAACATACATACAGTATATTATTTCTCAGTTTTGATCTTTTTTTTTAATTTTTGTATTTATTTATAGTTAGTTACTTAAAATAAGGCCAATTCACTTCAAGTAATGGCATCAAATATTACCAGCTGGTGTAGTGTAAACACTAGTGACGTCACTTGAGCGTCTGTAATTAACCGTCGATAGTTTCAAGAATTAATGCACTTTTCCTTTCTTGTCTCCTCACTGGCAAATGGGGGGGGCGTGGGGAGGGGTGTGTGATGATAGCTGTGTTTATTACAGGGGTATAAATCTCTTTTACGGTATGTTAGACAGGTTTATAATACATTTTTATTATTTTAATATACCGGTAATCTTAATTTGAATCCAGCTTGCCAAACGTAAGTTTCAGTATAAAATAATTAGTGGTAAGACCTTGTGAGTGGCTTACGATGTTTTCATCACCACTCTTGACACACTAAACCACAATATTTAAGAGGTAAGAATTTTAAACTTGGTGGTTTAGACGACCCCCTAACTTTGGGCAGATTTTTTTAATGTTCAAATTTCGTCTTATAGGCCGTGATATACGGTATACACAGTTGTACCCCGCTTAATGCGGTTTCACTTAACGCGATTTCTCATATACGCGGTGCCTCGCCAGAACCGGACTTTCACTTTACGCGGTTCATCTACTCATATACGCGGGAAGCGGCGCGGGCACGATGCGCACAAGGTCGCCCAGTCATCCAAACATTAACCGAGTTCTTCACCCGCCACCCACCACAACCGGCCCAAGTCAGTGATAGTGATAATTATAGTGAGGATATGGACTTATATGGACTTTGAGGGGTTTGACAAAGAGGCCCTGCAAGCCTCTGTGGTGGATAGTGATACAATTGATACAAGTGATACAGGTGAGGGCCAATAATCTGCCCTCTGCCTCGGAACCAACCCCCCCATCCCCGTGTGCCCAGCCATCTTTTCTACTAATGTAAGTGTTAAAAAACCTAATATTGATATTTCTCTTAATTATTAATTGTGTGTGCATACCATCATAAAGTTAAAATAATATTTTTACTACAACATAGTTGTGTGTCGTCAAAAAGTGGAGTTTGGGGGTCGGGCCAGTCTCTATTGGAATTAATCCCATATGTACTGTTGTTCACTTAACGCGGTTTTCACTTAAGGCCGTGTAAAGCGGGGCACAACTGTATTTTAATCACTTTTTTTAACACATTCTGTATGAATGATTGTGTATGCATGCTTTTTTTTTTTTTTTTTTAAACAACTACTTGAAAATACGAGTTGTAAAATAACAATAACGCAACTTAGCCTAGTAGGAGGAGAGATAGGGGATGTAGCTACAGGTGGCCTATCAAAAATCCGGCAACCGATAAACCGGAACCTTCAGTTTTCCGGCATGGATTTCGGAGCGCATTTTCAAATATTTCTTTGTTTATTTAATGAAGATATATGTTTTAGCTCATAAAATTCATACAAATTACCCGGCCAGAATATAATTTACATTGCTGGAATTCTTACAATTTGATGATCATTTTGAATATAAACATCATAGATTTTGCATTAGACATACAAATTTTAGATACAGTCGACCCTCGTTAATTCGGACTAATGAGGGAGAGGGTGTCCGTTTTAGCTGATTGTCCGAATTAACCGATTTAGGGGTTAATATCGCATTATATTTCAAAGTCATTGTTTTCGTCACGATTTTATCCCACTTTCCACTGTAATACGTACGTAATTTCAGCAAAAATATTACATTTCCGTGAATGTAT